GCTATACGTACGTCTACGCAAGAAGCCTTCTGTAATGACGGAGAACTCGAAGAGGTGCGGGACCGAGTAATTTTTGTAAGGTCCCAAGGCGAGAAATGAATGACGGAGTGTGATGAACAACGTACACTCCTCGGCCTGAGGGGGCAAAAAGTTGTTGATATCGGTGGGACCAGCCGTCAAGGAAGCGTAACGAACGTGTGTATGAGTTGTATGTGTGTAGGTATGCGCGTCGAGGTTTGGATGACAGTCGAACTGGACTGGTCTGACTTGTTTGCTAGGCTGGAAGATACCGAAGTGCAACGGGTCGACGCGAAACAGTCGGTAACGTACCGCACAGTAGGGACAGGGAGCGAGTGAGTGAGCAGAATGGGATGGGACGGTCTAGCCAACACACTCCAGCACAACTTAACCCAGGGCAGTGGCAGTGGGATCCTGCGCTTATCGACCTTGGTGGATAGCGTGTGTTTGTTCGAACGAGAGGGGCGTGCGAGTTTGGGTGCAATTTTTGCAGCGATGTCGATTACTGTAGCAAAAAGCACAGCAAATGAATCCAAGTTGGGGTATTTCCGTCGTAGTGCGACAGATGGTGGATGGCCTGGACTGGACCAGCTAGACCAGATGGGTTAGACTTGGCTCACAGGCAAGAAATCTGCTAGCTTGAGGTCGATCGTTCTGCCGAGGAATCCCCACGTCGCCGGTGCCGGGAGCCGCTGACTCGTTGGTCTTTGAGCGAAAGCGGCGAGTAATTACGAGAAAGACTAAGCGTCCTTTCAGGGGAGACCTTATGGAAGGTTGAGGTAAAACTCGAATTCGTATGGCGTACGAAGAGGAATTTGCTGTCGAGTTTGGGGCTATGCGGAGGTAAGAGGAAGGGGAGAAAAAGAGACTTCCTGGAATCGAATTTTTCCTCTTCTTTTCTCGAATTTGTCATATTAACCTTACCAATAATAAAAATCCAAATGAGAAATGCACCCCCGTGCTGCTGGAAAGAAGCAACGCATCAAAGGCAGCATGCTGAGCCAGAGGAACGGGAGATCCCTGTCCCCTGTCATGGTAGCTAGCTACCTGACCTTACTGTGTGTGTCCTGGAATCTGCGCCTGTCCTGCTGGCTGGGAATGGGAGGTGGTCTTTGCTTTGCTCATCAATATCCCCCCTTGTTTGGGTGCAATCACACACGCAGGATGATGACTTGCGAATTTGGTGACGGAGTGTGTGTAGAAGAAAATCGGCGAATTTGGTCATGATTGTTCTTCTTGTTCATCTTCCATTGAATGGGTCCATTGTACGCTATGGTCTTGATCATGCTTTGTCAGATTATCGAGGCTGAACGTTGTCTTCGGCCGGAAAGGCACGACGTCTGGGAGACACGGTTGTAACGCGAGCTCTGCCCTGCTGTCGAAGGCCATCACGAAGCCAGCATGATGGTGAGGTTGAACAGGGGGAGAGAAGATGAATGACATGGGTAGTCACCGCGTGCCCTGCGCTCTGGTAACCAAGGTCCACTCAGAGGACAACCCCGTACAGGATCCAAGGGCCCAAAGGAATGTCCACCCTTGCCCACCCTCCATCATCCTCGGACGGAACCTCCTCCACTAAAATACTGTACGTACTGTGCATAGGTACGCCGTAGATCTGCGGCCTTTTCCACTGGCCCAATCAAGCTCGACGTGGCTGTGATTGAACCACAGAAAGAGGCGTCCAGGATGCTTGTGTTGAATGCAGCTCGGGGCTTGGCTAATTAAGTCCAAAGAGGGGTTAGCAATGAGTTACCGATAGCGAGCTTTGTCGACAGGGTGCCAATGGGCGAAAGAGGTCATCGATCAAAGAGAATGAATGGGGTTACCGGGCACGCGGATTGCCACGGCCGATGGAGGGAGAGATTGCAGAATCCTCTTGTGACCTCAACTGACTCAAGGCCAACACCGAGACTTTTACAAGCAATCAAGACAGAGTATTCGTATCGTACGCGTACGGGCATGTGCTGTAGAGTCGAGGCCGAAGAACGTGGCGGCGATACCCCAATGGGTGTGAATGAGCCCAGCATCGTGGTTCCCAGCACACGCTAGTTACAGTCGAGCGTAAGCCAAGCTCAAGGATGGATCAGAATATTCTCCGCGACACGGTTGTGTAACGACAATTTCGCTGCGCAACACACGCGATGCTATGATAGCGAGCTTGTTTGTGACGTGCCAACATAGGATAGTTGGTCGATGTGGAATCGACAAGTCCCTGACGTGCAGGCCATCATCCTCTAGCAAATGTTTGGATGCCGGCGCCGTTGATCGGGCTAAGGTTTCCGTATCCGCCATTTTCAAGTTGGCTTCAGGGGATGGGCAAGTAGTGGCTCTGGTCTCTTGTATTTAGTTCAGCCCTAGAATGCGTTTACTTGGTTTTTGAGATCGGTGGGCGCTATGATTTGGCGCCTTTAGAAGAGGGATGAAACGGTATCAGAAACAGCGCCATATCGACAGTCCACAGCGCGCACAGTGGCTGTCGTCCAGTTGACGTTGTTGTAAGAGTCGCCATGGTCATTCTTCCGCTCGCTCTCTACCTCAGGTATAGTATGCTGGTATGCTGATATCGATGCCATGGCATTGTGGCTGATACTGTAACAGGCAGGGACAGGGAAATGCTGCGTCCTCGGCACCTTGTACGTATCAGAAACAGGTAGGGCGCGTGATAGATTGTCGGATTGGCGTACGGAGAGTCGGTCCAATTTGACTGGTAAGTTGTCGCTCAGGAAGGACGAAGGTTATGTTGGAAGGCAACACAAGATGAAGGAGAGTGACCAAGAAATTTGACATCAGTCAGATGGACGGACACGTTGCTTGATCATCTCTAGCTCTTTTTTTTTTTTTTTTTCGACTGCATATGTGTAACTCAAAGAAATGGATAAGAAACTTCAATGGCTCGCACAGCGCACTGAGTTTCCTTGTGCCATGTACGAAGTACAGTACGTGGTGAACATTATTGTAGAAGCACCAATCAATATTTATAGAATTTTAAGTCGAAATATTTTTCAGAGAGAGGAAGTATTACTGAAAGCTAAATCAAAGTATAATTCTGTATTGCCAATCTTTCTTTTTTTATTTAAAGGTATGGCTCCATGGTTCAAATCAGAAGCACTCTGGATCGAGAGCTGATTGGATCCTCTGTCCTATGTCCTTAGTTCGGAAAATTGTGAATTCATCGACTGGCTGTTTGTCTGCTAGAAATTCAGGTCTATGACCTTTCCACAAAGATTCTAGATGCTAGGGGCCGCCTGTTTGACTTTGATGGAAATCAAAATCGGAAGGGGAAGGGAGATGAGGTAGGTAGGTACCTCCATATCTTCAAAATCTCGACTTGGCTTCTTCTCCACACTCTCTACGGCCACCACATCTAGGTACTTGTTTTATCTCATCAACAAACATTGATCAGATATCCAAGCAAAAGCATGCCAGACGTCTGCCTGTTTCAGCCTTGTCAGCTTTTTTTCTTCGCACACAGCCTCGCACAGTATTGCAAACAGGAGCTGCTTCTTGGCTTCTTTATTTGTGGACGATCTAGCCACACATTTTTAACATCCTGGCAGGTTTGGCACATTTCTAGTCGAATGATCTGTCCGAGAAAATCCAGGGTCTAGTTAAACAAGATCCTAAGCGACCCGAGCATCTGGGAGGAACTAAAAGGGCCTAAATGCCCCAAAGAGGCACAGTAGGCCTAGCTGGCTGGTGTCTCTCTAAGCCAATAAGTGGATTACCTTACTTCATTAGCCAGGTACTTCAGCTAACCTGTTCGTCAATTCATTCAGAACAAAACTCCAAGTCACAGGGAGCCAATACGACTCAAGGCTCAATGCCTCCGCAACCAAGAACAGCAGCAGGATTGTCACTTCTGCCGCACCACGCCGCGATGCATCAATACGGTGTCTGACAACACATATGCAGACGCTTCATTCACTGGGCCAATGACAGTCGAATATCGCCCAACCAAGCGACTGGGCCGTGAGCCCCAACTCTTGCCCCAGTCAAGCAGGGGAAGCTTTCATGAAGCTGCCGTAATATCGTTGTCTATGGCCCTCGGTTGATCCAAGTTCTCATATCGTCGATATTGACATGATACGGCCCAAGTTCCATTACGCATCAATTGGCCTGCCACTATTTTGGACCGAATGACACCATTGCTGTTGCACAACCAGAATGGAAACATTTAAGAACGCTCCACGTGTTGACTTGGTTCTGTGTTTCCACTGAACCTACGAGACAGTCTCAACTGGTGCTCACGTGGAGTATCCACTGATGCGCAACCCATGCCGATTCTAGCACTTGTGCTTGGGTGGCTGGGCCCCTGTGCGACTCTCACGAATTATAGCTCTTTTGCGACATGAGGTAGAGGAGTCGTCCCACCACCGTTGGTCGGCGTTTTTATTGGGGGCTAGGTTTGCAACGTCGAGGGTCTCTGGTTTTCCATCTGAAGCACTGTGCCAGAGTGACACCCACACCTTCACCATCAGGGCCGACCTCAACCCAGCAAATTTGTCCGTGCGCCTGATATGCAGGCGGAACAGCTTCTCATTTCCTTCTTGGCATAGATGCATAGACACCTGGGCACGCTGTCTAAGCTGATTCCTGATCACACCTGCTAGCCGTTCATCTCTCAGGGGCCTTCACCCAAGTCCTGAAGGACTTAGCTGGAAGCTATTCTACTGAGGCTCAGGGTCCATTGACTGCCAATTCCCCCAACTTATCAAATCATCATGTCCGAGATCGCCGTGTGGGGGGACTGGACAACGCCAATGGTGTGGTCGGGTCACTTGGGCGCCAGTTCACGCGCCCGCACATGGAGGACAACCTAAGTGTGTCCTAGCTCCCCTGTCATGTAGCGACAGAATTGCTTCCTCAGCCCTGACTCGCTTTCCAACCGCGTTTTTGTCCGCAGTCCAGGAGACAAGTCTCATACTTGGTTAGGGTGATTTGGAGCCTTTAGTGTTTTGTCCAAGTTGCGGGGAACTGGAGTTGTTGGTAGATTTGCTGGTCTACAACTGACTACCGGCATGAAGCAATGAAGTTCGTCTTTTCGTGCCAGCAAATCATGATTTCAGGTGGGGTTCAGAGGCACATTCGTCTCTCCCTTTTGATGCTTCGTGAATGCAACCCCTCCTGGGTTCCCTTCCTGACCGCCTTCGATTCGATGCATTCATTCGAACGTCCAATTGTTACGCAGGGCGAGCTTGCAGACAAATATGATAAAGCAAGCATGCTGGATTTCTTTTGCGGCATTACCTTTGGACATGGGTCCACACAAATGGGACAGAGGACCCCATTGATGCACACTTTGCCAATTTCTGCAGGGGAGCAGTTGTCTAGACCGACAGCATGCTAGGGTTGAGTACCGCTGTACGAAGACTGGCCAAGAACGATATTCGAAGCTCGTCACTCTCGTCAACTATGGCCCACATGCGCCTGTATTTCTTGGAAACATACACAGTTTCAAGGCGGTGAGTAACCCCTGTCATTGGCCTACCCCATTTTGCACCATCACAAGACGCAGCAAAAACAATTGAAGATTGAGCTTGAAGATTTCCATTGACCGACGCTTTTGCAAGAAGACTCAAACAGTCCAACGACGATACCAACCCACTGGAAATCTTGCTGACTTAGTGGCTTCATACTAACTTAGAATGGGATAAGCCGTCTCTGACATCTTTCGATCGCAGGTGTGTGCATATCAACGGACGGTTTGCCGGCTTTGGTGTCCCTGCTCAGCACTGAAGTCAATCTGGATGGAAGATGAGTTTGTGTCAATTGAAAGACAAATTCATTCATCCTCGTTGGCTGAGCAAGCCCATGAATGAATCGATCAGTGTCGATGATGAGTAGCAGTTTTCAGCGATGAGATTGCCCAGAAGGGGAAGCTCACATGCAACAATACATCCAAATACAAGGTTTCTTTCTGATCGAAACAGCCATATCCTGTTCATGGCTTTATCTGAAATCACTTGAGGAGACGTCACGACAATTGCTCGCGCGAGCCTGAGATGGCGTGCATCGCGAATTGTGCAGAAGGACGTTTTCAGATAGTAAGTCAATACCAAATTGTCACCCTTCCAGCTGCAGATACATCTTATCAGATGGGGCAGATGTTGGACAAGGGGCACAGGACCAGTTGCTTAATTCACCTGGGCTTATTGCTAACAATTTACTGCAACGATCTAGTCCAAGGCCACCTCTACAAACGCGATTACGCACAATCCCTCATTTTTGTTTCATGATTATAGAGGGCTGCCGAATCACTGATACGATGAGATTGGATGCTACAGATAGACTTGCACCGTATTGCGGCCACAGTGCCCCAGCATCGCACAGATACCGATATCTCGGAAACACAGCCAGCCGGGCTCTATCCACTATTGAATCAAGGGTAGAAAACAAGCAGCAAGACCTTTAACAGCCAGTCAGTAGCGCTATTTAGAGGACCTTAGTTCCAGTGACCCAGTAGATCATTGACCACCCGGTCCTGACGAGATGGCGGATGTCACTTGCATATCCAGGAACGTGTGAGGCTACGGCAAGCCATCCAGTGTGACGGTGGACGGCAGTCTGCCTAGTCTACATTGACGGTGTCTTTGATTCCCAGCAAACGTGGGCTAGTTAGAAGCCGGTCTACCACGATCTCAGCTTCCCGTGATCCTGGGAATCTCCCGCACGCCGGCGGCTTGTCATGTGCAACATCAAACAAAATCGGGGAGCGGAACAGACAGCACCGGTTAACTTTGTTTGAACTGGCACCTTCGGGCTTCACGACTGTTCGCCGACGGTACGTGCGAGGAAGATATTTTCGAGATGACCAGTCATGTTACTGATCTGCGGGCCAATCTCACTTCTTCTGGATGATTGATGAAGGCCCACCACACCTCAAGGACACTCAGATCTTGGTGGGCTGAGCGGCGCTAGCGATCTACAGAGCGGTGGGCATAGAGCCCTTCAATTCAGCTCATTAGCGCATGTCGAATTGGGCCTGGTGCACAAGTGGAATTGGGACTTCTTCTCCGTAAATTGCCCTAGCGTGCTAGCACAGACCTGGAGGCTGGCGATTCAATATCGTTGCCCTCCACTATCAAAGCCTGTTGCTAAGGAAAGATGTTCTGAATCCAGCTATTCAGAGATTCGACAGTTCCTTGCAATCGGTAGGGGCAGAAATTAACAGAAAAGCGATTATCAGGGTTCTCTCTGTCATCTCTTTGGCGCAAAGCTGACTCGATGCTCGGCACGTCAAAGATTTGCCCCTTCCAATAGGCCACGAAAGTTATGTGGCTTCACATCATGAAACATGGACGGATGCGTTGCTGAAAGAAACGACACAGATGATACTGCTTTCTTGGCTGGTCTGGAGAATTGGTCGTATTCACTCTCCTTGAAAACAGAAAGGCACCTAGGTTGCTGGAAACAGGCTTGTCGGGGTCTTCGCACGTTCCTGGATGTTGTTTCACTCCTAACTACGATAGGTTGGCATTGGATAAACTCACAGCCCCTGCTAAGATCTGGTGCTGAAGATGCCCAGCCACGCGGCTAACAGAACTGACAGGCTATCGTCGTCCAGCCGCTTCCGATTACTCAACTTTGTCTACAGACTGGAGGCTGGTGGCTGAGATTTCTCTTGCGGCTATTATTTGATAAAAGAACAGGGCACGGGTCAGGCTGAACATATCCCCAACCTCACTGATTGAGCGCTATGAACAGATGGACGTCAGAACCATGCTAACAAGAGCCCATCCTGACACTGTTCCTTGCGATATTTGACATTCAAGGTTGAGACAGGTTCCGTGACAGGGAAATGAGATACGCTGCAAGCAAACGCGATGCCGACGGCAGCGTCCATCCGGCAAAAGAATCCGCCACCGACGTAATTATCAAGCTGGCGATTCATCGCACGTTTCCAGCAATTCTGCCAGTCAGCCATGCGTGGAATATCGCGCTCGGAAAGACACAATGTTGAGAGGATAATGATGGGGTATGCTGAGCAAATACCATACGGCACTGTACAGTACTGTGAGACTGGATACAGAGAGAGTTCAGTCCCAACAGCATGGGGCCTCGCTTTCAAAGTGTGGATCCTATCTCACACCTTGCATCCATGCATCACAGCAACAGGGAGGAGGTCCTCTCTAGCGCCCCCGTGATGGTTCTCATCGGCAGGGCCAGGCGAAGTTGCCCTGGCTATCGCGGCTCGCACATGGACTTGGCGGTTGGTTTCTTTTCCGCCTTGTCGCTGTGTGCTGTTGCATCACCAAACGCCCAATTTGCTAACATTCAAAGATAATATGTGCGCCTTTATGGGTCCGTGGACAGTGACGTAGCAAAATGCATCGCTGTTGGGTAAAGAAACTCTACTACATATGGGCGTGCGTTAACTAAAAGAGACGTAGTCGGGAGAACGGATATTTGGTCATTGACGGTGACATGCATGATATTTCCCATGACTGTATGTTGAAGCAGGGCTATCTGAGGATTGTCAAAAAAGAGGGAGGGGGTTTCACTCCCATGGGTCGATGATTGCCAGCGGAACCCTGAGCGGAAAGGGGAAGTCGTATGCGTCTACCATACAGCATAATGACGAGTAAACACACCGACAGATGTGTTTCGGTCTGGGGGTTCGCCGCGGCAAGCGACAAAGAGGAAGTGTCATATGTCACAATCTTGGAGCATCAAATCAACCAAAAGGTGACAAAATGATACGAATACAAACAACATTTTGCTATGCCATGCATACCTGGGCTGGAGCTGAGCATAGAGTTGAGCGAGCACGGCACGACGCGATATTGACACTGATTGCGCGGTGGTCTGGGCTGAATCTTTAGCTAGAATCATCAGTCCCCATCGCGTCTGGAGAAAGCTTGGACGGACCCGGACCAGGACCAAGGGATAGACACAGGGGGGGCCGGAGAACCATTGCTCAATCAATATCGAGCACCAAGCCTCCGGGAAATGCCACGCCATAGGCATACGGCGTGCTGTGAATGAATGGTATTGGTCCCGGGGCCACGCCGGACTCAAGCTCTTGCCTTCATTCCTGGGGTGCATCGACGGGACGGGTGAGGAGGCACTTGGAATCAGACTCTTACTCACTCCGTTCTGGGAGTCTGTCTCTTGGCCGATCCGCACACTCTCGCTATTCAGCCTTTGGTTTGTGGGCCCCCTGCGCCCTGTCATCCAGCCGTGGCTGTTGTTTCTTTCTATCCCTGCAGGTAGTGGAAACTGAACAGCTTCTGAGCCTCTCCAACGGACCTTTATCATTTTGTCCGTAGATTCTGGGTGCTGGTGTTGGCAAAACATGCCCATAGGTTTGTTTCTGCTTTGCTATTCCCATGAGGCGTTGGGTTGCCTCCGTACGCCTACACCCGTCGCCGAATATTTTCGGTGGGATTTTTGAGCTCAACCTAATGTCCCCATCATGGCAAACACGGTCCATCTGAGTTGCCTCAATCACTGCCGGAGAGGCTGACATACGTGCAAATGATTTCGGGCAACATGGACAAGTTGGGGGAATGGACCCGAAACCTGGCGTCGTGTCTGAGAGTCAGTAGAAGAGCAGAAGTCATGTTAGGCTGTTCTGGAACTTTGCAAAGATTTGGGGCGTTTCCCATCAGAAGGCGGCGAAACCGTCTTGGTCAGCCATGACTGACTCGGCCTGATACGCCGCGTCGTGTCGTGTCGTGCCATACCATGTCATATCGCGCCGACAGACTATCCCGTATGCCGCTATTGTTGCCGTCTTGCGCATCGAGGCAGTGGCATTCAATCTCGAGATTCCATGTGCGTCACTGGAGAATTTCAATCGAGATTAGCATGGTTCTCATAATGCGCCCGCGTCTATCCGCACCACATCAGCCTTGATACTCAACCTGAGTAGTGCCCAACTCTTGGTCAGGGGCAAGGCGGGTCTATTGATGTTGATCTTCATGATTACATCTCCTTCGCTACCCTGTAGCTGAAGTCATGAGAGTGTATTTTTCTAATTATCCTCATCGATCGAGTGCTTCGGTCGTCAGTTTGAGGGGCTGCCCTATTCATTTGGTGGTGAGCGCAACCTGACAAATTGCTGCAACATCGTCTTGTGATTTTCTATATGTATACATGAATATGCTACGTGGTCTTGCCATTCGTGAGAATTTGATATCTGGTTGGCATGTCATGACTGGCGACCTAGCCATGAAGGGGAATCATAAGATATTGGGTTGGGCATGAATATTTCCTGTATATCAGTGAACCCATAGCAAATCTTGGCCTGAAAGACAGGTAATGTCTTGCCTATCGTTGATAATGATCGACCAGACGCTACTCCTTGATATGGCATACACATCCGGCGCTATGGGCGGATCACGACCGGCCGTTGGTGTTGAAAAGCTTGTCTCACCAGGCACTCCAAGCTACTGAAGCTATTCAATTTCAGGGCTCTTCTCCAAGTCTTGGCTAAGACAGAAGAGCTAACTACCATCTCATGGCGATCAGTCGACTGCTCAACGAAACACATACGCCGCCAGGTTGCTGTTCATGATATTTACTGTGGTGCCGGTCAGATCTTACGTGGACGGATGCACCGGTGATAAGTCTTCGCCGGAAGCAACCAATTCGATGACTTACCCAGATCCAGGAGCAGATCAGGCCTGGCAGCAGCTTGAAATAGAAATCAATCAAATCCGGCTCACCAAAAGGTGATGCCTGGGCTTGAATGGCTTGACCGGTGGAACTCGTCAAGAACCTATGAAAGAGGGACAACCAGACATCAATTCAAGTCTTGAGCCCACAGCCAACAGTTACAGAGAAGAGCGGAGAAAAGGAGGTAATTCAAAGAGGAGCAAGAAGATGATCAAGCCGGAGGTATGCAACCAAGGCTCTCTCTACTGCACCATCCGCAGAAGAGTCCTGCTTATCAAACACATTCTCAACAGTGACATTACCAGACTAGATCATTACACCAATTAATGTTGTACGTCCGTGTTCTTGTGGCAGGATCGTTCAGTGCTATAACACGACACGAGTTTTGTCACTATGCAATTGTAACTAGGCACAGCCATTGTCACGTCCAAACAGAAGGTGGCTTGAAAATGGATGATCCTGACCGTCCAGAATGGCCGCCTAGAGAAGATCGCATAGCAACAGGTCAATGATGTAGAACCTATAAAGAACGATCTCAGAGGCCTGGGTGCTGGGTTGACTGGGTCAACGAGGCATAACGGGGAGTGTCCACGAGTCTTGCTTGTGACCCTTTTGCACCGGGGAACTCAATTATTTGTACGCGAGACTGATGACGACAGAATCGGTTGCATTCTTTGGTGCCAATAACCAACATCTTATCATTAGGCGTACGTTGAGGAGTAGGTATATCTGTAAAGGGGTGATGGACCAAAGCCAGAGTCAAGTCGGATGATATCCGCGATGCCAACGATTGAGTCAAAACACCAAGAACGAAGTTTGAATAGCCGTGCCAGATTACTACAGAATTCATGAGTTATCGCGCAGCTTTGGATAGGCAGTCGTACACCTCGATGGCCCAAAGTGTTAAAGGGCTGACACTGACGGTAAGCTGAGTCTGCACAGATGAGCATGTACACACAAGCCAAGGCGACGGCCAACCCGACAAAGCATTCAGCGCCCAACTCTCTGACAATGCTGTCAGCGTCTCGAGGCACCAAGGAAACCTGCTAGTGTACAAAGATCCGCAAGAGGATAATCACGGTCCCAAAGCACGAGGTAATTATCCTCAATACATCCAGACAACAAGACGCAGACTTCAAACAGCATCGAGAATGATCTTTGACACTGAAAATACAATTGATTTCGACTAAAACTTGTGCCTCGTTCTGGCCATCGCAATCATCGCGTTGATGGGAGCACGAGTTTGGGTAAAGACATAGAAACCAACTCGTACGTATGAGAAACGGGGGATACTACAAGGACACATCGGTTAGAGGGGGGGGCAACCGATACCATCAAAGGCAACCAGACTATGAAGAAGCAGTGATATACGTGGTGATCTATGTGACAGTAACCTGGGAATGTTCCTCTCCAATACTTCAATGGGACCGATACTTTTCTGTAGGCGCTTAGTCGCGAGATAACATACATTCAATTACACCATCAACATAGAGTGAGTCGTGTTAGTTGAGTGAACTACAATTGTCTATTGAACATACAGCTCGACTCTTGACAAGATTGTCATCGACCTCCAGAACACGAGGCCTCCAATAAAGGTGGGATATTTTCCCCTTATCTCCACCTGCGAGCGTTTTCCATACCGCTCGACACGATATCATCATCCCAATCTAAAGCCATTATTTCGAAAAACATAAAATAGAAAACGAGAAAATGCCACATAAAGTGCGTGACCAAACCGATCCGCAATCAAACCAGAAATCCAGACTCGCATGACGAGTCAAGTCTAATCGAATCACCCATCTCTAACAAACAAACGCCTTGGGTGTCATATACTTTTGAGAATCCGAGGATCTGTAATGTGAGGCTGCCTGATCCGTATCACAAGAGGGTGGTAACCCAATATGAATAAACCTCTTACCACCGACGGTTACGGTTGCCGATGGGCATGTTGTTGGCGTTGGCTGGAGGTCCAGTCAGCTCGATAGGTATCTAGCTGCTTCAGCGTCGGCGATACCCACCTCTACCACCGCCGCGACCACGTCCCCATCCACCGTAGCCGCGACCACCGCCGCCGCCATATCGAGTCATCTCAGCAAGGCGAGGGTCAATCTGCTGCTTGGCCTCCTGGAGAACATTGACAAGATCACGGGCCTGCTTCTGGTCTGAGAAGATCGTTAGTATGTACGAAGACGATAAAGCTGAAGGATACTCACTATCAGTAGTGAAAAGGGTGATAGCGGTACCCTTGGCACCGGCACGACCGGTACGACCAATTCTGTGAATGTAGTCCTCCGAGTTGTTGGGGTAGTCGTAGTTCAACACATGAGTGATGTTGCGCACATCTTTAGCAAGAATGGTTAGCAGGCGAAGCAGGGGTTTGTATAGCAACGTTCCAGCACGGAAGATGAAGGTGAATGGCTAAGCATATTGGCAAGCCATCTGTACTTCACTCCTAGCGGAGATGGGGCAATAGAAAGTGCGTCAAAATGCCATCCTGGAGTATGCGGGTCACTGGGTCCTGGGAACAAGAGAACCTTGGCCAGCAGCTTGATCAAAGGCAACAATATGCCAACTCCACACTCGTACCACGGGAGTGAGAACGGTACAAGAGTGAACACACGTGAGTATAGCAAAGTGAAGGCTACACAACGGATCAAGACCCCGTTGGTTGAGAACCAATTGGACACGATAATTATCAGGCAGATTCGCACAGTCAAGAGAGCCCCTAAACACGAGAGTAAAGTACAGCAAGTGCTGTCGCTGGAGGTTGCCATGGGGGAGGGTGGATGATGATACATACCGATACCACGCGAGGCCACGTCAGTAGCCACCATGATGGGTGACTTTCCGGTCTTGAACTGGTCAAGCACCCAATCACGCTCGTTCTGCTGCTTGTCACCGTGAATGGCTAACATATGTTAGTAGCTGTTCTGTAATATTGTTGTGGGATGATGGATGATACTTACAGAGCGCGGGCCATCCATCCTGGCGGAGGAATCGAGTGATCTCGTCAGCAATTCGCTTTGTGCCGACAAAGATGAGGATCTTGTTCTCCTTGTTCTCCATAACCTTCTCAAGGTGCTTGATCATGCGGTCTCGCTTCTCCATGTCTGTGACAACCTCGACAATCTGTGTGATACGGTGGTTGGCAGCAAGCTCCATGGAACCAATGTTGACCTGGATGAAGTCCTGAAGGAAGTCGGAAGCCAGAGCGCGGACCTCCTTGGGCCATGTAGCGGACCACATCAGAGTCTGTCGGTCAGGTCGAATCTGGCCAATAATCTTGCGAATCTGGGGCTCGAAACCCATGTCAAGCATGCGATCAGCCTCGTCGAGAACGAGGTAAGTGACACGACGCAAGTTAGTCTTACCAGCCTCAAGCATGTCAATCAAGCGGCCAGGGGTGGCAATGCAGACCTCAACTCCTCGAGAGAGGTCGCGAATCTGAGGACCCTTAGGGACACCACCGTAAACACAAGTGTTTCGGATACGAGAAGATCGGCCAAACTTCTTCATCTCTTCCTGAATCTGAACAGCAAGTTCACGAGTAGGGGCGAGGACGAGAACAATAGGGCCGTCGCCGGGAGCAAGGAGAGGTTGAGCGTTGATGTGGACAATGGAGGGGAGACAATACGTAAGAGTCTTTCCGGAACCTGTCTCGGCAATACCAACGACATCACGACCGGAAAGGGCCATGGGCCAACCCTGAGACTGAATGGCAGTAGGGGCAGGGAAGCCCTGGGCCTTGACCTCATCCATGACATATCTGGGGAAACCAGCCTCGTCGAAAGTCTCGACGGGTCTTGGAACATCCTTGCCAGCGATGGTCATCTGGTGCTTGCGGCGGAAGGCTTCCACATCAGCATCAGATCGGTTTGTGACATCGGGGTGTTCCTTGTAGAAAGACTTCTCGAACTTGGGGAGGGTGCTGACATCTAGACGAATGTTAGTATGCGAAAACAACAACAGGACGAGCGAAACACGTACCCCACTCCTGGTTCTTGAGGCCAGCGCCGAGGGCACCCATACGGTCACCGCCGGCACCTCCTCCATAACCGCCTCCGAAACCACCACCTCCGAAACCGCCGCCGCCGCCGCCGTAACCATTTCCGTTACCGTATCCATTACCTCGGCTGTGTTCTGTGTTAGCGAGATGCAATAAAATATTGGACACGCATATGTTGGTGGTTGGGCGCGTTGTCGTTGGGGAAACGGCCGCGCCTCTAGGCTGAAACCACCGAATCTGCGCTCAAACCACAAAGAAAAATCGACTCACCCTCCGTAGCCACCACCGCCGTAACCATTGCGGTCACCACCTCGGTCACCACCACGGTCGCCGCGATCACGGCCGTAACCACCACCGCCGTAGCCACCTCCTCCGCGGCCACCGCCGCCGCTGTATCCGCCGTCGTAGCCAGACATTATTTCAGGTGAAGAGAGATGAGACGGAGCCGTTTGGAATGGACCCGTCTAGGAAGGGGGAAAGGGGAGTATTAGAATAAAGAAAGACGTGGGATGCGCAATATGATATCTCGAAGTTACGAGATTAGCCTTCTATTTGATGAAGAAGGAGTGCGCGCCCGAAGGGTGAGATGATGAATGGGAAAGGGAGAGATGAATGGAGGATGTGTGAAGTTTTAAGAGAACCGGCTCGGACGCGCTGACCATGTAATTTTTTTTTTTTGCTCTCGCCGCTAGGCAAGTCCGCCTGGTAGATCCACTTAATTCTTTTGAGGCGGCGGTGTGATTGGGCTAGAACGCTCCACTAAAAAGAACCCTTGAGATGCCGCCACCTTAGTCAGGAACCTTGTGGGTCTTACCCTATACTTCCAAACTTTTCACAATTTCTTATCGCAGGACTTCACAGAACAGTAATCATTTTAGGTAGCGTTAGTTCTCACATTCTTTATCCATCTGTAGTGCTCTACTGGGTTATAGGGCGAAATACAGAAACGAATGTCATGTCCATTAATTTGCGTAACCCCTGCATAGGTTGTCAATCTACAAATGCACAGCTCAAAAGTTCTTAGATAATACTCCAGGTGCACGGATAGCAAAGCAGTTTCAAAGCCCAAATGTATTAGGAACTGTCAAAAACACTTACATCGAAGAGATGGCTGCATGTCTGTGATGGTAGAGCTAACATGAAATAACTGTATCAATCATCACAGCGTGAAATAGCTGGTCGCATATTGAATAATTAGGTGGTAATTTGTTCCTCTAGTATCTACCTACTCATCCATTTGCTGCCTTTTCCACTTTACATCCAGGGCCTCCTCTAACGCGCCCCTGAACGCACCGACAAAGCCCCAGCAATCTAAGAAAGTATTATACAGCGGTGCAGGCGCTACTCTAATCACATTCGGTCTGCGCTCGTCAACCAGAACACTCCTCCTCTCAAGACCAGCCATGACCTCATCAAGCAATCCATCGGCCAGGAGAATGCTCACCTGCGCCCCACGACGTTCTTGCTCACTTGGCGTGATGATCTTCCAGTACGTGCTCATGTCCTGCGGCAGCTTCTGCAGTTCGGAGACGAGATAGGCCGTTAATCTGGTGCTCTTTTCGCGTAGAGGAGCCATACCGCCGGCCAGCTCGAATACCTCTAAGGAAGCACAGAGAGATGTTATGTCGAGTACGGAGGGATTGCTGAGTTGAAACCCTGCTGCGCCAGGAACAGGAACGAAACCAGGTCTCATGGCGAATCGGTTCTTCTTGTCGTTTCCCCACCAGCCGGCGAGTCTCACGTTGTGCGATCCATCGTCCGCAACCTGCGTGTGACGTTCGTGAACAAACATACCTCCAATACAGCCTGGTCCGCCATTCAAGTACTTGTATGTACACCAAGCAGCCGCGTCGACGTTCCAGTCGTGTAATGAGAGAGGCACGTTACCTGCAGCATGAGCGAGATCCCAAATGACGAACACGCCACGCTCGCGAGCAAAACTAGTCAGATGTGGAATATCGAGGAGCTGGCCCGAGTAGTATTGGATACCTGGAAGGAGAAGTACTGCAGTAGTGGAGGCGTGCTTCTCGATAATGGACTCGACATATTCGTTAGAGAGAATGTCCTCGTTATTTGGAGGCTCAATGGTAATCATCGAGTCTTCAGGACGGAGTCCGTGATGCCGTATTTGTGTCTCAACAGCATACTAAGCATCCATGTTAGCACCTCGATTGCCTAGTGCTGAGTTGAATCACTGACATGATCACTTGGGAACGCTTTGCTCTCTAGTATGATTTTATGCCGTCCCTTAACATCAGGCTTATAAAATGCCGCCATCAATAAGTGAAGATTGGCCGTGAGAGTCTGCATGACAGCCACTTCGCTGACCTTGCCGCCCACGATTGGCGCAGTCATCTCGGCCGCACGAGCATCAACGTCTAGCCATGTTGGCAGAGGAGAGTCATCAAGGGGCTTGAAGTGGCCCTGCACACCTTGTGTGCGCCATGTCGCGAGGTATTGCTGTATGCGATCTAAAGTGCGTTTGGGCTGAAGACCGAGAGAGTTGCCTACAAGGTAAATCGCTCTATCATTGGCATCTGCAAGAGTTAGACCAACATGGAGGATACGCTAGATATCAGAGAAATACACTAACCTGTGCTGTCACTGGTAGGGAGAGTTTTGCGAGCTACATCAGCTTTGGAGGGGATGTTGAACTCGTCGCGAGTGTGTCTGAGAGCGTCACTGGAGTCCAGCTCAATGGCGTGGTCCCTGCCAGAAAGCTTGGAGGAGTCACCCATGGCCAAGAGCACAGACAGGTCAGGTTATATCGTGCAATGAGTTGCCCACCTTGGGTCTAGGGAATGAACAAATTCTCTTCCCCACGTTACGTTCCCGAGTAAAGTAGCTAATGTAGATGACAAGCTCCGCATATCGGCTTGACGCGGGGAGCTTCTGCCCCGCAGCCAAACTTGGGAGCTCCCGACTTATGGCCGGGACCATTTGGAGATGCAGGATTTGATATCCATATGAAGAGCACGAGGCCAGGCCAGACAGGGCATCTACATTGCATATGATGCAGAATTCTTCATGTGAAAGGTAGGTCCACGAACCAAGACATCGATGTGCTCTGTCACCTTGTCCGGTGTCACAAGAACCCCCTTTCTGGCATCATACTATGGTATGTACACAACGAGAGAGCAGCTCGAAGAGAGCACTCGCAGGCACAAGCAAGACCCGCGTATTTGTTCACGATATGAAGTTTTGTTGATTCTTTTTTCCCCATCCTCCACAAGTCTCCCTGCTTTTCGCTTTTCTGCGCACTCTAGCTATGTCATACAAGGGGCCTGCCTCTCCCATCTATATCCGTGAACAAAGAAAAAATTACAGAACAAAAACAGAAGTAAAGAAAGACCAAAGCGAGGTTTACAAAATGAAGCATCCCATCCCAAGCCCGATTCTAATCAGACATCTATTAGTCCGGCCCAGTTAATGCACAATGCTCCAAGTACACCCTCCCAAGAACAGATCGTCGTAAGATGCAGTCCGTGGACAATATAAAGTCCTCGGCTATCGCATCTCATATCAGGGTATCGAACCTTGTTGCATAAAAGGTTTTGTTGGATCGAGGGTTTACTCGCGAGAGACGTCACGGCCGAAGGCCTTGGACTTGAGCCAGTCAACAGCGACCAGCACACGGTTTCGGGCTAGAGAAACCCAGTTAGCGCGATTATAATGTCAATCATAGTTTGTGATGAACTTACTACTGAAGCACATGGAGAGGTAGGCACTTCGCCAGAACAGGTAGGTCAAGCCGCCACCACTGGCAATGTTACCGTTGAACCAAGGAACATCAGCAACAGCCTTCTCGCTACCAATGTAGGCCAAGCTACCCTGGTGGGAGTATCGGAAGGGCTTGACGTCCTTGATTCGGCGAAGCTGTTTCTCAAGGCTCTCAATCTCAGCGGCGACCTCAGCAGAGTTACCCTGCTTGAGGTTCAGGCTGCTGCTGAGTTCCTTGATGCGAGCCTCCTGAGAGTCAGTCTTCGCCATGTTGTTGAACAGGCGGGCCAGGAAAGAACCCTCCTGGGAAGCGACCTGAGCAGTAGGGGCGTAGCCAGCAACGGCGCAGTCACCGACGGCCCAGATATCGCGGGTGCCCTGGACAACAAGGTACTCGTTGACAGCAAGACCACGGCGAGAATCCTTCTGGGCGGGAACCTTGCTCATGAGGTCACGGACAATGGGGCGAACAGCGTTTCCGGTAGCCCAGACAAGCAGACCGTAAGGGATACGGAGAGTTTGCTTGGTGCCATCAGGACCAGCGCACTCAGCCTCAACAAAGTCCTCTGTCACCCTCTTGACCATGGTCTTGAGCTTGATGTCAATGTTCTCCTCGCGCAGGGTGTTCTCGGTGTACTCAATGAGCTGCTTGGAGAAAGAAGGGAGAACGTTGGGAAGGGCCTCAATAAGAGTGACCTTGAAGCGGTGGCTGATCTCGGGAATCAGCTTCTTGATGTCGTCCTCGAAGAAATCACGGAGCTCTCCAGCGAACTCGACACCAGTAGGACCACCACCAACAACGACCATGTGCATGAGACGGTCGATCTCTTCTTGGGATTGACCCTTGAAAGAAGCGCGCTCAACACAGTCCATAATCTTCTTGCGGATCAGCTGGGCATCACCAATCTCCTTGAGGAAGCAACTGTTCTCGCGGACACCGGGAATACCGAAAGTGGCATTCTCAGCACCGACACCAATGACGAGCATGTCGTAGGGGATCTCAGTCTGAGAGTGAGGGCCCTTGCCCTCGGTGTTGTCCTTGATCTTGACAACCTTGCGATCAGGGTCAACAGAGGAAGCCTCAGCTTCGTAGTACTTAACGGCACCCTTCTTGTGGCGGAGGATAGTGCGGACAGGCTCCATGATTGAGCGGTGCTCAATAAGACCGGTTGTGCATGAAGGCAGGAGGGGAGTGAAGAGGAAGTAGTTGCGAGGAGAGACGACGATGACGTTGTAGTTCTCGGTGTCGAGGTTCTTCAGGAGACCGACAGAGCCCCAACCGGATCCTAAAGAAGGGTATTGCGTCAGTAACTTGGCATGATATGTGGGAGGAGCGCCTGTAGCTATGCGCGCCGAATTACTCACCCAAAACGACAAGAGTCTTCTTGGAAGGGTCAGGCTGGTACTGCTCTTGAGGGTGGCGGTCATCGTAGATAACGTAACATGTGTAACCGACGAGAGCACCGAGAGAAAGGTATGTGAGTCTCCATGTCCATCGGAGGGTTCGTCGAATCTTGCCAGGCTTGGGCTTGGGCTTGGGTGCCTCGTCAGCATAGGCTCTTCGGAAGGCAATGCGGCCAGAGTTGTTGAGTTTCATGGCGATAGAAGGTCGAGCAGAGGTCTTGGAGGCAGTAGAGAGGGCGCGAGTCGCAATGCGACTGCTGGGGGCCATCTGGCCGACCCGGGAGAGGGCCGTCATGGCTCGCGCGGAGGAAGCCATTGGGAGGATCTGGTAGAGAGGGGCTCAATTGAGAGTGATTGAAGGGAGAAGGAGGGAAAAGAAGAGGAAAGAAAGAATAGAGGACACAGACTGAGAGTCTCTGGACCAGATGAGGGCGTCGCGAGCGGATGGGGCTGGTGACGGACGGAGGTGAGTCGAAGGAGAATCAGTCACAACCCACGAAAGAGGGCGAGAGAATTTAGTGTACAAGAACTGGACCTTAGTTGCGGTACGTAACTGGAGGCAAAGCTAGCAGACAGTGAGTGAGTGAAAAGAGAGACCCTCATCGGCTGGCCGGACACAAGGTAACTAGGGTGCAAGAAAAGATGATGGCATAGTTCTATTTGATAGTGTTTGGCTTCTTTTTTGCTCCCGTCCTGTCCCCCCTCGAGATAAGACATCCCGTCTTCCATTTCTTGCTTGTGTTTAAGGCTCCACTAAAAAGTTCAGGTTCCCTGCCCGTGCCTCCAAGACTTCAAGCTTAGCGGAGCGGGTCGGCGTGGGCTTCCGTCCTCAGCTACCTAAGCTACGGGTGCTGGATGGCCCTGAATGACGCCCACTGAACAAATGAATGGCTTTAAATCAGAGATCATCTTCGATTTGGGCGGCCAAATGATGGGTTTCGGAGTTGATAACTTGTGGTCACAAGAATCACACTTTTCCTTCTGATATCTTCTCGTGTTGGCTTGTGATTATCACTTATCACTTCTCGTCTCCAAATTCAGACTCCAATGACCCAATCCAATGGACCGGACCGGGCTTCAACACCGATCCGCAGCTTTGGTTCAGATAAAAGTTGCAGTGCAGTTAAAATTGGGGTTGATTGCTCATCCTAACACCTAAAAATTTTGTCAACCTTTGCCCTCTAGCTTCTAGTCTTTCGCCTTCTGGCCCTTGGCGTGTCCGGCCCGTTATGAAATCAGCAAAACCCCACTAACTTACCGAGCAAACCCCTGTATACGATTCTATTTTCTAGTATCATGACGAGTGCTGGTGACAATATCAAGGTGAAGGAGGCGGGTTTCCTCCTCCATTGCTCGTGATAATTCGGTCTGATGCTATCAGAACATCGTGCATAATTCTGTCACACCATCACCACCACTGCATATCACTATTGTTTATCTTTGTTCTGCTGTGTGGTCAACTCGACATAAATCTCGGTGTCTCTCCGTTTCCGGCCGCCCGGGTTGCTTTCAGCAGAGAAATGTGACATTGGCATTCATTGTGGACTGCTCGATCCTTGAAGCCTTTGGCGAGCGATAGAGCGCATGAACAACAGCCTTGTCATGAAAGATTGATAGACATATTACGTATACTGTTACTGTATTTCGGCATCCGGAATACGGGAACACCAAGCATCCAATATCTTGCTTTTTATGTCCCCGATATTGATCCATTGAGACAGTCCACGCTGTAATATCCATTTTATTGCAGTCTGCCAATCAAATGCGGTAATTCCCGGGATCTTAAGCCTGTAGATGGAAAATCTCCGGCCCTGAAGGATAGGAGACTGTCATCCGTCGGTGAAAACCCGGTTTCTCGCGCTCTCATTTCTGATTTCTGAGGTGTTAGGAGACACCGCGGTGTGTCGGTGAGGCTTTTAACCCTTGGCGCGGATTAGTCCATCATTGGATACAGAGCGAACGATATTAACCATAAGAACTCCAAAGTACTCATGCAATAAAGATTGTAGAGGGCGGTTAATTTTAGGTGCCTGTAGGAAAATAAGATGCGCGATTTGGTCTCGTTTGGGAAGCTCCTAGCGCATTTCACATGTCGCTAACAGCCTCTCACTTACAGGATACGCGGTATTGCCCAAATAGGTGTTACTGCTATTGTGAACGACGAGCGAATGGTAGATTTGCCGTCGTAATTGCATTGTAATTCATGACAGAAGCTATTGTCTTATATCTCTCATCCCCTTTTCTTGAGTAATTGCCCAATGTCTTGCTTACCATTTGCTGGTTGCCGATCAATTTTGGTAGATTAGGCTGTTGATGTCTATCATTTGCGTGGGGTGTTGACTTATATCAAAACACCATCGAAATATTTCTACCTCACCCAACCTTATCATGTGAAATCTAGATGAAATATGTAATCCCCAGATCTTGACGCGATTCTCGTACTATACCCCAGAATCAGATAAACATTGGGGGGGTTAGTGCATCCCTGACAGCCAGTCCATCTCGGAGCCGCAGTCAAATCTTGTCAACCTTGCATCCGTAGAAGCGCACACAATTCATCTCTCGCGATGAACCTCAACCCGAACCCTTAAAAAGAGCTCACTCCCATTTTCTGTCTAGTGCCCGCCGTGCTCGCTCCCTTGGACCGGGTGGATCTCATCGTGGAGCCTCAAGAAGAGAAAACGTTCATGTCCGCAAGCGCGCTAATGACGGATCCGCGCTTCAGTGCGTTCTGTTCATGATGGTGAACATGGACATAGGCGAGGTATGTGATTGGAGCGCGTTCTCAAGGGGTCTTCGGTGAGCGAGCACGGTGAGGAAGCTGAAGACTGCGTCTATTTCAACTTCAAATGTCATTTGGTTTGTGCGTATCTGGGATGTGGTGATGGGGGCAAGATCTTGCTAGCCCTTTATGGGGACGGCCACTCGGAGAAATCTCCGACACTGATGAATGCGATGTTTAGTATTATCAAGAGCACTTTCGTTCATCTGATGGGGCATGTGACGGATTTACTTTCTGGGCCATCCTGCTAGTTGCAAGTTTATTGTCTTGTTTGATGATAAAACACTCCTTCTTCGCGAAACACTTGTGGCGACATGTCCAGCAGCTCTTGATTGTCATGATGGCTGGAGCAGCAATGAATAATTGCCTGTCTCCACTACACATGGAATCTGAACTGACGCAAAAGCTTTTTTCAAGGGTCCATCAAATGATGACTTTATCCACAAATGATTTAACATCAAACATCCACTCTGAGTCTTGGATATCGGACCGTCTTGCATGCGCCATGAATCGCTGACTTTGCCGGCGGGGACCGGCATTTGATGTGCAAACCCCAGATGAGGCTGCTGAAAACGATAGCCGGATGGCAAGCCGATATCATGAGACTCAATGTGTCGAAGGTTGAAGATTCCGAAGCAAAACGAGCTTCAGATTGTTGAGTGTGTCTCGAGTCTGGGCATCTGAAGCAGAATAACCAACCACCTGTCGATCTTTCGAACCACCATACATGAACTTCATATGATGATAGTCTGAGCGTCAATCAATATCATATCATTTATCCTCAACTACATAAGCTGTCAAGGAGGATTGAATCCTTCGTTAATAACCAATCTATCACAGAAAACCCAATTGAAGAAGAACGAGCAGTGACAACCCCCCTGCATAACCGTCTTCATCAATCTCTTGCGACAGGCTGAAACAGGAGCTTGACTTTGAGACGTGTAACCCCTGCCGCTAGAAACCTACAAGCTGAGGCCACCCGTCGCTAACACAAATGCAGCCATTTCTGCACCAGCCCTGTTAGCATATCAACGACGGGCTACCGTGCTTCCATCCTGAATCTTGGTTCTTGGGCAAAGAAGCGACACCAAGCGTTTTCAAACAGCAGACAAAGACTCTTGAACTACCAGGTTCGGCTTGAATGTTTCGTGTTACTCGCATCGTGCCCCTGAACCCTGAGATCGCCTTGGCTGTATGGGGTTTATCACCGTTTATGGCTGTCGGATCCTTGTCTTTATAATGTATCATATCGTATCGTATCGCATGTATAATGTAACTGTTGATCTTGTCTCATCCCACGGACCAACTCCAGCTCTAACCTTAGAGGTTCCTCGCGCTTCACTTCCTCTCTCGTCCGTCCTCTCGTTTCTCTCCCTCTTCAATCAGCAGAAACTCCATTTCTCGCTTTTTGCATGTCATAAACCGCCAAGCCCTTATAATCTTTCCTTTGTCCTTCTCTTCCTTTGCTCTTGATCAAGGCTGGACCTTCGTTTGAATAACACTTTCTTTTATCTGATCAAGTCAGTGACTTGCATCATCAAACACTCATTTCCTGATACCCGGAGTATTCATCCAACGCCTTGGGTATCCAAATCATATCAAGACATATTATAAAGACCCTTGGTTCATTAATACTTTTTGTTTATAATCAACACAACTCAGAATACCTACGACAATGGCGCCTTTTGATGAGCCCCATTACCTTCGGTGGCAGAGACAAGCAAAGAGGGCTTTTGGTGCGACTCTGCCGGATTGGACCATCGCCGATGACAGCGACGACTATGATGTTCACATTATGAAGAAGCGCACAGCAAGGCCGAGACGTAGACGAAGCAATGTTCCAACTTCATCCGGGGAGCCTGAGGTCATGATCAATATCCTACGGGAACCTTATGCCAAGCGAACCGATACTGTCGACCCTGCGACTGAGAAGCAGAAGCAGGACGCGAAGAAGGAAGAGAGTAGTGACAGTGAGAGTGAAGGTGATGACGCAGCCGACAGTGGAAGTGAGAGCGAGAGCGAGGACGAAGATGAGGAGCCCAAGAAGAGTGAAGAAGACAAAACCAGCGACGACGCCAATCAAATCAACATCAAATTGCCTGCATCATCAACAAACTCACCATCAGTCGAAGCTCCATCAGCTGAGGGAAGTATGTCGGATTCTCCTTTGGTAAGTCAGATCCTTAACCCGCTCATCATGTCCAAGTCGTTTTGGATTGAAAGACATGTCAAATGCATTGAAAGCTCGGTCTTGCTAACTCCTCTAAAGGTCGAAGGTGGTGATGGTATGCACTCCAATGTTCACAAGATCCTGCTGGGTGTTGGATCCGTCGGTATGCTCTACCTGTCCACTTCACCTATAACATTACAGACTGCTAACACGATATCAAGGCGGCTTTCTATTCCTACTTGGCATTGGCTTCCTCATCTGGAAATTCTACTCAAGGAAGCAGTCACCAAAGAAGCCTGCTCCCATTGATGACATGAACTTCGACAAGCCCAGCCGCTTTGAGAACCTCGTTTCCAAGGTGCCTTTCCTCGGATCACGCTACGGTCACAAGGGCTGGTACACAATCGAAGATCCATCCTATTCTCCTCCATCCTATTCTCCGCCTCTTGCCGAGAAGGCACGACCTCAGTCACCACTCTTCATGCCTAAGCAATCCGACAACTTCCTCACAGTGCCCAGCCTACCGTTCGGTGTTTATCGTACGAGTGGCGACAGAAGGACAGGGGTTACAAACTATGACATTGACGCTGTCAGCCCTACAAGCACAACCTTTGTCGAGAGCGCTGTTGAAGTCCAGGTCGTGGCTCGTCATGATCCCAAGGACTCTCTGAGCACGCCGTACAAACCTCAACAACACAAGCGAATCCCCTCTACCACACCATATGCCTACGATGTCGGACGACGTCAGACCGGTGTTAGCGAACTCTCCTCCATCTCCTCTGGCTTCGGCGACGGCGACATCGTCGTGACGCCTACCACTCAGACTGTCCAAAGCGTCCCATCGCGACCAGAGCCTTCACGACAACCCACATGGAAGTCTACCAACTCTGTCGGCCGCCGTGACACTGTATCTACAGTAGCTTCAGTGGATACACGACCACGTTTCCGCTCAGTGAACTCATGGGTGAAGCAGCAGAATGGGCAATTGCGACGAGCTCAACGACAACAAGAGAACAGCCTTGATAGTGACGCTCCTCCAGTTCCTCCTCTGGCCCCCCCTCCTGAGCAGGACTTCAGATACATGTTGCAAGACGATGAGAGACCACGTCCAGTGGAGATGGTCTAGGATGGGTTCGGGAAACATGCATGATATATAGAGGCACCTTTGAAAGGAGTATGGCTGGACCAGGCGTCAGATACCTACGTTGGATTTTGTGACATAAACAAGGAAACAAACATATGGAACCAAGTGTATACTCAATTCTATGTCCATTAATTGATCGATCTAGTCTACTTCTCCGGTTTTTATGTCTGTATGTGAACTTAGGTCTGCTTGGCAGGGAACATCTCCCAAAAGCCAATTTCCATCTAAATCGTATTAGTCAATCGTCACTGTTCAAAAGGGCGAGCATATACCTTGAGAGCATGGATGAAGATCTGAACAAGCTCTTCAATTCGCGAAGGTGACTGCAGTTGAATATGCTTTTCGAGCAGGGCTGTTTCTTGGTTAATAGACAGATACTCGATGAAACTGAGAAAGACTCACCAGATCCCAACTTGACAGCGTCAGTGTAATCCTCTTCATTGTAGTTCTTGATCCACGCCCAGTACGTGTTTCCCTCGCGGACAGTCTCCTCATGGTCGTGGAGCATCTTTGCTGCGGCACCATAACCAAGGAGGCATGGAGCAAGAGCCATTTGAAGACCAACCCAATCGCCATTTTGACCAACGTCAAGGACATAACGAGTGTATGCGGTGCAGGCTGCAAAGAAAATCAGAAAAAGATCACTTGTCATTGAACTGCTTAAACTTGCCCTGCTTCTCTGGTGTGGCACGAATCTGCTCGATGGACACACCGAAGCTCTCGCAGTACGAGGTATGGAGCTTCAGTTCATGCATGATATGCTGAACGATTTCTGTTGCCTATAGAGAGGTCATGAGGTCGTGTACAATATAGAGTTAAGAGAACATACTCGAGAAATATCCTCAATGTTTTGTGCCTTGTAGGCAGCGAGGGCATTGGCACGTGAAAAGTGAATCTGTAAATAATGATTAGCTTGGGATCGTTATATGTTTTGAAGACCAACCAAGTATAGGTAATCTTGGATGATATAGCCCTTGAAGGATTCGAGAGGCAGAGTTCCATCACCCATAGCCATGACGAAGGGATGGTACACAAACTCCTTCCAGACGTCGCGGACATCAGGGCGCTCGAGAAGCCACTCGATGAAGTAGCCGCTGTTCATCGAGTTAGTACAACAAAAGATGAGGGACGCTTTATGAACGTACGGAGCAAATGGGAGAGAATAGGTCGAGTGGAAGTGGTTTAGAGGACCATGCCCCTTGCCTAGGCCAGGTGCTGTTCGAATGGCAGCTTCAATGTATCGGCAGGCTGATCGAACAGCCGTAGGTGTATCAAGTCCCTTGGCCAAGTTTGATGCGATGGCCGCTAACAAACCAATTAGTATGAGACCAGAGTTCTTAGGCAAGTTTGTCACTTACAGGCCAGAGAGCACCCCGTCCCATGGGTACTCGAGCTCGCCTGGTATGGGCTCTCGACTCTGACAACCTCACCATCACCGCCAACAAGAACGTCTATAACAACAATCCTCTCCTCTTCAGTCTCAGCCACAGTCAAGTCCTCCTTCATGGGCCGGTGTCCGCCCTTGACGAGCACCCACTTAGGACCTAGAGCCTGGATTCGCTGGGCTACAGTCTCAAGGTCTTGCACACTGCGAACCTCAGGGACTTCTTGACCGTTTTGGGAAAGGATAAGAATAGCTTCAGGAATGTTTGGCGTGACAACTGTAGTGTGCGGTAGAAGGTGCTTGCAGAGATGTTGAATGGCTTCATTGGGGAGGAGTGTTGCACCAGAAGTCGAAACCATGACCTGAAAGTCAAGAGTTAGAAAGATCCTAATATAGATCTGTAAGGGGGCACATACTGGGTCTACGACAAGTGACGGGATGCTATGCTTAACCATGGTCTTTGCAACCATCTCTATCGTCTCTGTAGAAGCAAGCATGCCTACCAAGGTGTTAGTCATTGTGCAACACAGCGAAATCGTTGACCAACTCACCAGTCTTGACAACATCGACACCGACATCTTCAACACAAGCATCGATCTGCTGAGAGACGAAATCGGTGGGAATGACATGAATGCCCTTGACGCCTTGAGTGTTCTGCGCAGTCAGAGCCGTAGTGGCCGTCATAGCGTAGCAGCCATGAGCAGCGATGACTTTCTGATCCGCTTCAAGTCCTCTGATGATTTTCCGTCAGCATATATTGCGATTGAACATAAAAGTATCATGAAAACGTCTTCAAAAGGCTCCATCATGCCACTTTGAGTATAAGGGAAACTGTACTTACGCTCCGCCCGAACTGTCCGACCCCGCGATGACAAGCACTCGTCCTTGTACCATGATAAAGGATATCTTTAGGAGGGTTCAAAGAATGGTCAATACAATGAATCCACCAAGAAAAGATGTATGATATAGGTGTCGTGAAGGAGTAACTTGGCCTAGATCGGAACTGAGCTCGCTCTTAATCCCGCGTTTCGGTTACTCATGGAAGCGGCGTTGGTATTGGCAGGCGATGTCAATTGCTCTGGTGGGGCCGAGTAATTCACCGTCATCATAGTTACAAGTCGTACATTATCAGGTCATGATGTTACTTATCTACTCCCTCAACCCTAAAATTAACCAGCTAATTGTAAATTCGACATACTTAGTACCTGGTTCCTCAATATCATGAGTCCTTGTCGTAGACTGATTTGTAATTTGGGCATATGAGGCTACTAGTCGAATCAAACGAGCAATGCTGTAATATCTTACTATAATATCCTCAACTTCACTTGGTCTCGTTCTAAGAAGCCCTCTCAGATAAAACCAGAAGCATCCCTTCTTCGATGTTTTGCCCAAAACTCCATTATTCAAAACCCAGATCAGACACCAATCCCCTTTACAGCAGCTACTCGTCACAAGGGTATATACAGCTCAAGACCCGCCTACCACCCCTTAACGCTCCATCATGATTCTTTGTCATTGGTATCGTGTAGTTGAAACTTTCCAACGTCGTGTTGCTTTTGGCTATGTAGTCATCTTACATCTTCGAAATATCATTGCCAATATCTCACCTCCTCAATCTGAGAGGAGCTGGTGTAAGATCTGGTGGCGGTGCCGGCGGCTCGCTGATGCTCCGCTGCCTCTCTGTCCTGTCATCCCCGGAGCTATTTTCGCCCTCGCCGCTTTCTTCTTCACTTTCCTCTTGGCTGTTATCATCGCTACTGTCGTCATCTTCGTCATCCTCCTCCTCATCAAATACTATTTGTCGCATCACGTTCTTGTCAAACAAATCTATAACCATCCTTCTCACCCCTAGCCGGTAGTGGTTCCATTCCATTGCGCTCATCACTTCTTTGAAGAACTGCGTACTTTTGAAGGCGCTTGGTTTGTGTGCCCGAAGCTTCTGGAGGTCAGTAAGCGCCTTCTTGTAGAGGACCATATTTCCTAGGTCCACAATGAGTTCCAGGACTCTTCTGTTAACATCCGCCTCGCTCAACAGAGCAGGTATTTCTGCTGGCTCAAGAGGTGGTCGAGCGGCGCGAGGTGGTGGCGCCTCCTGGGCTGTCCGTTGACTTGACGGCAAGGTGATTGACGTTACCGTCTTTTGTTTCCACGCTGTCAGTGATAATAACCTTGATAGGTCATTGGGGATGCAGAATCCGAGCGAGGTACCCATTGGTGTTGTGTTGGCATCCCATCCATGTTCAGATAGAATCTCCAGACCGTGCGTAGAGCGGGAAATCAGGCCAAGAACGAAGAATGCAGTGCCCCTTAGACTCATCACTTCATGGGTCTCAGCAATTCGAATGATATGCTCTACCACATCGTTGGATTCCAAGAACGGTGCTCCAAGTTCCATGGACCCAACGTTGCCAACAGCCCAAAGGCAGCCCTTCACCTTCGTAAGCATTTCCGCATCTCCCTTATCCATGCCATGCTCACGAATCGTAGCTGCAAAATCCTCAAAATGACCCTTATCACTGAGCAGCCTACATCCCTCCTGGGTACGGGTCAACTCTCGATAGAAGTGCGGTGGTACATGGTTGTCATGGTAGTCCCCATCAATCTCACCATCATCAAATAAACTCATGCGAGGATTGTGCTCGTCTGGATCAATGAGGAACGCTTTGGCCAAACTTGCCTCTATGACCCTGACATATGTATCGTTCCGCCCCAGGAACCAGTCGTCCATTTCGTTACTGATGTAATCCAGTCCATCCAGGTAATGGTATCCGATAGATGTTGATAAGAACCGTAAGAGCAGCGGTGCTCCGATTTCTCCCAGATGATCGAGAGCTGGTCGGCATTCAACAATGTACTCCAGGTAGGTCTTGCGATTACAAGCTTTCTCCAAGATCTTCACAGCCGTGGCACAGACCTCAATCTCGGGATCGTAAAGCTGTGTGACCAAGAGCTGAATGGCCCATTTCGAGTCACCAACGCCACCCTGTCCGTTGGCCGATGGTACTGGCCGGATGGCGTATTTGCGAAGGGCATTGGTCGCATGAATTCGGATTTCCTTTGTGCCAGCAGTTAAAGCTTTGGACAACAAGACTCGAGGATGACCCTGGACGCTATAATCGAAGCTGGACAGGAGCAACTTGATGAGGTCTGGTCTCTGCTTCAAGTCCACGATGTGATACATCATATTGAACATCCTCCAACGTTCTAGTAGTTGAAGACCTTTAGGATCACCACTTAAAACACCAAGCATTGAGAAGTAGCCCGCGCAAAGTGTGTCAGTAACTCGATCTCTTGAGAACATTGGATACTGGGCTGTGAGGCCGCTAGTCTGAAGAAGTGTTGTTAGTGATCAAGTTGAGGAAACCATAAGAGCATCAAGCCTTACCGGATCGCATTGTGCTAGACACTCAGCTATCTGTCTAAGCAACTTGCTGTCTGCCAAGAATTTAATTCCCTCAGGGGATTGAAGTAGAGAGTGCATCAGGGCACAACCAGCTCGGACATACTTTTGTGTGGCACGAGTGTTTTTGACGTTAGCAAACCTGTATTTGAAAGGGCGATAGAAGCTGATGATTCTCTTCATGAACTTGGATGCTTTGATGGCCTCTTCAAGTCTCTTGCCGCTTTGTAGAGGGCCGTCGATGATCTTGAGAATAGTCTCCCAGTTCCACTTAGCATAGTTCGAGCTGTTGAGGACATTACTATCAATCAACAGTTGCCGGAACGTAGCATCATCAAAAACCAGAGATTGGTGGGATTTGGGGGCCTCATCAATCGCGGATATGTCATTCGAGTTGTGACCTGACGATAACGCACCGGACAAGGCACCCGTGGGCGCACTCCTGTATAAAGTACGACTGACGCTACTGATCTGGTAAACAATCCCCGACGCCACCCAGTGATCATTGTTGCCAATGTTGGCAGCCGATGAGAAGAGTTCCGGTAGGAGGTGAAGCTCGGCGCTCCAGGATGGAGGTAACAGGCGACTGGAAAGTTTCAGCACTTCGCTTATTAGAAGGGTCGTCTTGCGCTGGAGAGTCGGATTCTCGTCTCCTTGAGCAATCTTTAGGAGAACTGGTAGGAGGCCTGCTCGAATGAGCACTGCCAGCAAAAGAGCTGTGTAGTGCTCGACGAAATTTTGTTCACCGCTGTCCTCTTCTGTGAACTGTAAATGGCTCTTGTCCTTTTGGTTTGACTTCAGATTCGCTACTCGACCGTACGTTGTCAATCTCCTTCCAGCAAGAAAAGAGGTTGCCCACGCTGGTGGTTTGATCCGTAGAAGTGAGAATATAAGATCAAGAATAGTCTCCCGAACCACATCACTCGGCAATAGCATGCTCGTGATCAAGGATCGAATTGTACGGAGATCATACATACAGAGAGTCATGAGCCCTGGCCATGACTTCAAAGCTGTTGCAATGGCTTTGGAGTTCTGTTTCATGATACTTTCGTTGGTCAGGAGGTGGTCAGTAAAGACAGTAAATAGCACTTCCAGACCATATCCGGGTTGTATATATTTCCGCTTTCGAGGTGAGTCGAGCAGGTATAAAAATGCAGAGGTCAAACTTTCGGGAGATTTGTAGACGCCTTCTGAAAGGGCCTCCGTCAATGGTCCCAAACCACCGGATGCCACCAAAAGTGCTGGATCCTGCACTATAAGTTCTGCTAATGTCTCGATGCAGATAGGCCTTAGACGGTCCAAGTCTCCCTCGGCCGGCTGAGCATTTGCTCGTCGGTCTTCTCCATGCTCTGCAACTGCTACTATCGTGCGCACCACGGCTCGAGAGATCTCTTTCACTCCGCCTTTGACATCAAGAAATGCACGGACGAACTTGAGGGCCTGCTCACGTTCAACATCCGCTTTGCGGTAGTTATTAAGTGATCTGATTATGTCAGTAAAAGGGGCGCGGCCACAGTCGAAGTACATACCGTATCACCAGATAATCCGTGTTCAGACTTCGGATCTTCTTAAGTGATGCCACATCCGAAATAGCATATCTGGTCATTCGATAGCCAGCAGCCACGACTTCGCGACTCTCGCTTAGGAGCATTACCTGCATGCGGAGCCCAAAAATTGACCAGACCAAGTCGTACTTAAGAGTTGGGTAACGCTTGAAGAGATCGACGAGCTGATTCCCCCGCGAGACGTAGTACTCCGGCATCATGCCCTCAACCTCTAAGGCCTGGAGCAGTTCCGCAAGCGCAAATGTCGGACTTTCTGTTGGTTCCTCATTGTCAGACTCTACGACAGATCGTGACACGCTTTGTGGCGAACGCAGTCCAATTGGTCTCCCGGATTCGACAACGTTGCTCTGGGTACGGTTTCGTTTTGGCGTCGCAGGTGGAATCTGTCGTGTATGCTGAGCATCTGAAATCTTTTGGCGCAAGTCCTTGATACGCAAGTTGCTGGCGTTAAGCTCCGCCTCAACCTTTTGTCGTTGCTCTTTGGTCTGCTTCGCTTTCTTAGAGTTCAGCGCCTCTAGCATGTTCTCACTCCCCTCCTTGATTTTCATTTCACGGTTGAGTCGTTCTTTCAGATGTGCCAGAGCTTGCTCAGCTAGCGTGTCTACGTCATCCTCTTCCACCTTGTCCATGAAGCTGCTTGGGTATATTGACCCCGCTTCAGTCTTACTCCCAGCCCGACTACGCAACTCTGAACTGAAGCTGCCGGGAGCAACATTGAGACTGCTTCCCCTTGGCGCAAAAGATACGGCTGAAGCAGAGAGATTTCGGGCGTTAGCGCCATTGGGAGGTTGTAGACCCGAATCGCCTCGGTCGAAGCTCGTGCGACCAGATAACTGCTGAGGCAGGTTGTGTTGTGAAGGTTGGCTCGGAGGGGTCATGCCCTTCTGAGCTGCCGCGGAAGAGCTCAGCATATCAGCGGCGAACAGCCCACCGGTTGGGACTGGGCCCAAAGGTGGTGGAAGAGCATTCGTCGATCAACGGCGACTGAGGTAACGAGTACGGAGGATGCGATCACGGTCAAGGTTCGTGTGCGTTACAGTGACTTCGTTTGGTAGGCGTATATTCGTTCGCAAAATGGCGGTATAAAGTGACTGTCTAGATCTAATGCTGCGAGCGATCGTAATGTTGTGTCGTATGTATAACTTCGACCGCGTTTTCGGTGATCGCGCTGTCAGAGAAGCTGTATCTGGACAGCGAAACTGGTTCAAGCAGGAGTTTCAAGAGAGCGGAGTTGTCGCCGAAGACGTTGGAGAGGTTGCGTGGATTCCAAGGCGATGGTGGTGCAAAAGCGATGTAGCCACGATACGGGGTTGAAGGTTCAGATCACCAACAGAAGCAATAACCAGATTGATGCCGTACAGAACCTTACGTAGATAGGCCAATATCAGAGCAAAATGAGCGAGGTTCAAGGACCAGTTTGGCAGGGTTTCGAGAGACGAGGGGACAGGTGATTGGAGGATCGAGAACAGAGGTTGTTGGCTTGCGGGCAACCAGGGCCTAAAGTGGAGGCGGACAAGACCCAGCCAGATGGTGATGCATTCCATTTACAGACCTGCCCGGGGCACTAAAGTCAACCTTGTGCTCTGTAAACTGTGCTGCACCCTGCAGTTGCGGGCGGCTTCACTACCTTAGAACCTAAAGTTTTGGAAAAGCTCCGGTACAGTAGCGTGCTGTAGGTTAGATGCTCTGAGCTCAAAACATTGTATTCCGGGGTTACGATGGAGTTAGGAGAACATCCATGAAGCTGAGGAGCTGGGGAACTGAGTTTGAGAGTCAGTGCCAATAGTAATCGAGAGTATATTGCAAGCAAGCTGTTTGGCGCACGGCAGCTGATTGTCGTTGTAGGCCTTCGTCCTCATATAAGCATACAGCTTCCACCTTGGCATAGCATTTGAAGCCTGGGTAATAATGATTTCGCCATCTGCTTTCTTGACCATATTCACATGCTGGTACACACAAATAAAAAACCCCTTACTAGGAATATATTGGTGCTTCGTGAGGCCATCACCAAAAATGTGAAAGATAACCTACAGGCTGCATGCCGGCGCCTTGTGATACTCCGAACTCATCAGACCGGAGGGCATGAATCCAGGATTGCCTTGACCATAAACACCAGAATCTGACTGGTACTCTCCCCTCATAATCTCGTACCTCATCTTTTCTGCAACCAGAACTCAACTTGTGTTCGTATCGCAGGAATCATGCGATGTTGAGTCGCATTATAAGATAAGATAGACAAGTCAAGATAAGAGCTCCGATGGCTCCAGGCGGGCCCCGATATACGGGATCGAGGGCATCGGCGTCCTCCGGGGCCCGGCACCGACCCCCATCGCCCCATGGAAAAGCTTCAATTTGCTAACAATTGCAACATCGGACATTGAATTGTTCGGCCGTAGGCGCTTGTTTCTGATCGCCAACGTCCGTCTCCGTCCGTTGAGCCGCTTAGAGTAGCGTTATTTGGTTGCTTTGTCTCTAATTACCTTAGCCGGAGCTGTCATTATCGCTGGGAAGGGGGGGCTGACATCCCAACCATTCTGCATACTTGCTAATCTATATTTAAAGCCTATTCCTCCCCTTCCCTCCTTTCAAACCATACTGTGCTTAATCTTGATTCTTGAAAACATTGCCATCGCTCATCTCTTGTTGCAATACACTAAACCTAAAACCTTATCTGGTCTTATCCGGTAGCAACTACACGTCTTCAGACTTATCACACAACAAGCCTCTCACAATGCCTTACGTATCTGCTGCTCGCTATGGCAAGGACAATGTCCGCGTCTGCAAGGTTGATCGCGATGCCTCTACTGGCATCCAGACCGTCACTGAGATGACCGTCTGCTGTCTTCTCGAGGGAGAGATTGAGACCTCCTACACCAAGGCCGATAACAGTGTTGTCGTTGCCACCGACTCTATCAAGAACACCATCTACATTACCGCCAAGCAGAACCCTGTCAACCCTCCTGAGTTGTACGCCTCTATCCTCGGTAGCCACTTCATCGAGAAGTACAGCCACATTCATGTTGCCAACGTCAACGTCAAGACTGTTCGCTGGCAGCGTCTGAAGGTTGATGGCAAGCCTCACCCTCACAGCTTTTTCAAGGATGGTGAGGAGACCCGAAATGTGGAGGTTCGCGTGAGCCGACAGGAAGGCATCCAGATCAAGAGCTCTCTTGTTGGCTTGACTGTACTTAAGAGCACCGGTTCTGCTTTCCACGGCTTTGTTCGCGATGAGTACACAACTCTTCCTGAGACCTGGGATCGTATCTTCTCAACCGATGTTGATGCTACATGGAAGTGGAAGAAGTTTGACTCACTGAACGCTGTCAAGGCCTTTGCTCCCAAATTCGACAGTGCTCGAGAGGCGGCACGCAACACCACCCTCAAGATCTTTGCCGAGGACGACAGTGCTAGTGTGCAAGCCACCATGTACAAGATGTCTACTCAGATTCTCGAGCTTGTGCCCGAGATTGCGACAGTCACTTACGCACTGCCCAACAAACATTACTTCGAGATTGGTAAGCCTGGACACGCTTCCCCAAGTCGACTGTTGATACTAACCTCTTATCTAGACCTGAGCTGGCACAAGGGACTCAAGAACACAGGCAAGGATGCTGAGGTTTATGCGCCCCAGTCTGGCCCCAATGGTCTTATCAAGTGCGAAGTGTCTCGTGACAACTTGCAATCAAAGCTATAAAGGGGCGTTGAGAATGGTTGTATTCTGCGGCGATAGATGTCAAGATGGAACGTTATTATGAACCCAGGATAAAGATTGATACCAAGCGATGAACTTAGATTCTAGCACTAGATATGATTTTAGTAATTATGTTAATTTTGCTACCTTTCTGCCTGTCCTGATTGTATTGTGTTGAAACCTGTACTGTGGTATTCCCTCACTCATACCTTTTTTACGATAATATCCATGACCGTGAACCGTAGGGGCATAATCAGGGTAAATGTCACTGGCAGAACGTAAACCAGACCCAGTGTCTTTGTACAGCAGGTGAAATGCACACCGGACACATCACATCATGAAAACGTTGATAATTGCTTGGTGCTAGGTCATAATATGCCCAAGATATTGGTACAAATAGTACAAGGACTCTCATAGCCCATCCGCATAGTCTTTACTGCGCAGCTCCCTCGTTCCATAGCTACTCCCGTGATTTCTTATAATCGCTTCTTATCGCCATTTCGGACCCTTTCGGTGGCCTTCTCCCAACCTTCCTCTCCCACTGGTACACCAGCAAACCGTATCAAGTTATCCTTGTACGGATGAGCATCGCCCTCAAACGCCTTAAGTCTTGCCAATCGCTTGTCTCGTAATCGGTTCTTGGGCAACATGCCACGCACAGCCTTGCGCAGAACCTCACTGCCTCCGTGCGCCTCCATGAGTGCGTCCATTGTTATGGACTTGAGGCTGCCAGGTCGTGTCGTGTGTCGGTAGTAAGGCTTTTGCCACTTCTTGCGGCCGGTTGTGTAAAGAGCGGCGCAGTTGGTCACGACAACGTAGTCACCGCAATCGGTTGATGGGTCGAAAATCGGCTTGTGCTTGCCCATGAGAAGAACGGCGATGCGGGATGCGAGACGGCCGAGTGAAGGTGGTGTAACGCCGGGCTGAGTAGAGAGTGTGGCATGAGGGGCGGAGGCAGATACACTATGCCATACTCGAGAGTAGGCCAGTTTTGTCTATTTGATATTGGTTAGACAAGAGAAAGATTTGAGGATATTCATCTTATCAGCTCACCAGACCGAGGACTTGCGACATCTTGAAGGTTCTGAGAGATCAATCTCTCACAATTTACCTCCAATTGGTTTGGTCAGCCGCAAAACTGGTGAAAGGGGGGTCAAATCGCCGTGTAGCTTCGTTTTGCTGTATCGCGAGATCTACCAACACCGAAACGCTCAACCAGAAAGTTTGGATCCAGATGCCAAGAATTAATTGCTGACTCAGGAAGAAGGACAGTCACGTGCTAATAGCTTAAATCCCGAAGCCACTGCCTGACCCGCTTCCGGGGTGCGGAAGTGTGCGACAACGGCCGGACCCCGATGCTATCACTCGATTGTGGATTTCAAAGCAGCGAACAAAACCCGCCCACGTCGTGCTACAACCTTGTTTTCTAAACAAATGCCTCTCAAGTTTACACCTGCAAGAGTATTTACAACTGCTTCTCTCTTTACAATAGCTGGTTATTCAGCATATCAATATCGAATCTCACGTATCAACTCTAACACCACGCCCCCCACTTGTAAGTTCTCCAACTTGTATGCGATTCTCTTACACTATGAGTATGAAACTAACGGATCGACGCAGCATCTAACAAGATGACGGCCGATAACTCGTTTGAGGTGCGCACAAAATTCTGAGCTATGAGTCATGGCTGAGAAAAGGGGACGAGGAGAGTTGTTGAGATCTTTTCCCAGTATTCAGGTACTAATGAAACGTCTTGAAAACAGACCCTCTTTGCTGTTCCGCTGTCATGTGACGGTTGTGTCAAGGCGGTTTCAGACTCTCTGTACAAGCTCGGCGGTATCAGTAATGTGGAAGGCAACTTGAAGGACCAGTTGATTTCTGTTAAGGGCACCGGTAAGGCGAGCTAACTCACCGAGCCGTGTACAAGCTAACGGTGTCGAACTTCCAGCTCCCCCATCAGCTATCGTAGAAGCTATCCAAGCCACCGGAAGAGATGCCATCTTGCGTGGAACGGGGGCCTCAAACAGTATGTGCAGAGCAGTTACTCACCCTCCTGTGATACAATCACACTGCCATTGGATTGCCGGCTCCTCAATGGCTCTACAACTTGGTACAATCAATCGCTGACCTCGAAATCTGACAGGTGCCGCTGTGAGTATTCTCGAAACATTTGAAGATCCTGTGGATGGCTTCTACGAAGAGCCTAGCAGAGATGTAAGGGGGCTAGCAAGAATGGTACAAGTTAGTTCAGGACGGACATTGGTTGACTTGACTATCCGCGGCGTTTCGCCCGGAACTTACAAAGCTTCAATTCGCGCATACGGTGACTTGAAGAACGGTGCGACCTCAACGGGTCCTGTCTGGACAGGAGATGACAAGAAGCCTCGGGGTGACCTTGGTACTATTGAGGTCGGTGAGGATGGACGGGGCGCAGCCTTCATAGACCATGGTTTCCAAATCTGGGAGGTCATTGGACACGCCATGGTTCTGACAAGGCAGGAAGAGAAGGACGAACCACTGAAGAACGATAAGGACACCGTCGTCGGCATTATCGCACGAAGCGCTGGCATGTGGGATAACGATAAGACGGTGTGCTCATGCACAGGCAAGACGCTTTGGGAGGAACGAAAGGACGAGGTTCAGAAGGGAATGCTATGATAACGAGGCATTTACCAAATCCAAGTCGCCAACCAAGTCTGAATATTAACGCTGAACAGTGCCAAGAGGAGGATTATTTCTGATTTATGGCATGATGCACACCCTTTGTTGAAGGCTTGTCGTCCAGTCAACTGTTTCTCCGCAGGCTTGAAACAAAGCCCATGTAAACCAAGTTGGGTTGAAGAGTGACAAGTGGAAGATCTGTAACGCATCGACGGTGCTGCGGCGAGATGTGGTGCGATATCTGACCTGGGGACAAGATCGAACATGGGTCTTTTCCATGATCATGGTTCGATATCATTCCAAAGAGGCAATATCCTCGTGTTTAGCTGAGCTTCACGGAAAAACTGATTCTCGTACTCGTTCACTTTGAAAGAATTCGGAACTATTTTCTGCGGTTACATATCCTCGTGATAAAAGCTGGTAAACGGCTGATGGAAGTTTGAGACTAAGGCATAGACGGCAAGTAGAATCTGAGATCCAAGGCTTCAATGCATTGACAGCAAGACCTTGCTGGGATGAAGATGAAACTCCGGAGATCAGCCACAGAATTATGCGAGACAATGGTGTAAGTGACAGCTGTAACATGTTCCATTGGCATCTACCTTGACGTCAGTCACGATAGGCTAGCACTGCCAAGCTGAGATTCGGAGTAGATCGACTGTTTCGATGCCTTTAAAGAGGAAAGAATATTCAGGTGAGTGAAGGATGAGACGAAGAGACAGGGACGATACCTGTTCGTGTGTATGAGAGAGACGGGAGGAAATACAAGGCCGAGGGTTAGCTCAAACCTTCGCATCAGGATAGTAGATAAACTCAAGATCTGATGTACGATGAAAAACAGGGCGAGATGAAGGAACAAGAAACTGTTCAAAGTTGAATCTGGAACTTAGATACAGTACTAACTAACCTTGATGGGTACATGATCGACTATTGCCGTTGAATCCGCTCGTACTGTGAGACAAACAGATAGACAGGTCAAGACATGATTATTCAACATGAACCATTTTCATGGTAACTACGCGTGAATCTAAAATTTCTGGAGGAATTCTGGCTCTTTCATTTACATTAACCAATGACTTTGACTCGCTTGTTAAGCGATGCCAACAGATTTTTAACTTTATTAACTTTTTGCATCAAGTAGATATCTCAATATACGCGAAAGTGCCTGATGCACACTGTCGATTTTAAGCTCACCAAATAGTTTCCGGTGTAATATTGTCTCAGATATCTTGTGCCTGAACGTCATGACGTCTAGAAACTTTCTGCTACGTCCCCGGGTCTCGGGCTGTAACCAACTGGCACCCCTGGCTTGGCTCCATGGGGCTCCGGATCACCATATGCCGAAAGGTTCAATGCAACATGCACTGCCGCAGTTGTCGCAAGGCCTCCCGCAGAAAGGGAGTACATCTATATTGTTGTTGACCCGGTAGGGAGGCTAGACGGGGTCTGAACGTTAGGAGGAAAACTCCCAACACAGGCAGGCTCGAGAGACTGGATGAAGAGCCCGGACTGGTGGTACAGTATGGATACTCGGTACTATATCGTACACAGCCAGATGCGTGTTGAGTGGGCGCATTAGCGTCGAGAGCTGGCGGCAATCGAAGCAAGGGATAGGCTGGGAATTCTCCAAGATGAAGATGTTGTAAAAAATCACGAGAGCAAATATCATCATCTGTCGTTTGGTTCAAGTACTGAAAGTTGTTCCTGTTGGTGCCGGTTTCTTCCTAATCTCCGTTTGCCAAGATCGCTTGAGAGTCTCTCCCTGGTGGCCGCTAGGGTTGGTTCTCGGCTCTTTGCTAACGAAGGCACAACGACTCTCGTTTTCACTCACCGTAAATCCACTGGTCCTCGCATCTTGGCAGCTTGGGCTGGGCAGGTAGGTACCACTTGTAAAGCTCATTTCGATCCCGTGCCTTCGGGACCGAAGCCTGAATAGAACAAAACGTAACGATCGAGTCCAGTAACGGTAAGTTAGACTGCTGTATGTTCCATTCCTTTGGGCCTATACTGCAGGGTCCATCACTCTAAACTGCCCACATCAGGGCGCTTAAACCCAGATTAGGGTTGATCGAGAGGATGGAACGCACGTCATTCGACACCAGCAGCTTGGACGCATAATCCCATCCCATCAGCCACGGCGGTCGACCAGGGTATGACTTGTTGGCATTGTAAGTTCGACTGAAGATTTCCCATTATGGGAGAGAGGGGAGAATTGGAGTAGGCGCCGAGGGGTGGGTCATTCAGGCAAGACCCTGGTATAGTGGCCAATGAGAAGATGCGCCTGAGAGTGACCAGCACCTGTGACAGTCGCTGCAGCAGGTGCATAAAGTAACCCCGTTGTCTAAGCAAACCCTGGCAGAACCCCAAATCATTCATCACAGTTCGCATAGAACCTTTCGATTACTTTGAGGCATCTGACGACGCTGCTGAATGCAGTGGTTCGATCTAACATGAGAGCTAGTTTCATGAGGGTAGGATACACCAATTTAGCTCTCATCTATGTGAAGAAAGACATCACATCTAGTTCATCACATCACAGGTGACGGTTATGCATTCAGTCTTAGTCTACACCGTCAAACAGTCAACTTTTCTTTTTCGAATTCCCCAATATCTATTATGCCAGTGGAGAAGAGAAACAAGATGAGGATTTTAGGTTCCCAGCTCAAACCCGGCCCGGTAAGAGTGTTGGTAAACCTCTTACATGTGGCTAGCGGTCGATCAGACGTTGCACATGCACTGAGAGAAGTAATACATTTCAGATCTCAGATGCAGTCGGAAACATTGCTGTAGCAGAGGCAAGAGGAAGAGAAAAACGTGCGAACCCTTGTTGCACATCCCCCTGGCCCGCTGAGCAGAGACTGCAGAGTGTGGTTGTAGAGAGTCAGGTCCCCCGTAGGCCGTGTGACAACCATCATCGACCAATTCCCATCGTCTCTAGGCGCTGGGTCTAGTTGCACCAGCCACTCATCGGTTGTTGTGCCGTATGTCATCTCAAGCACTGCTGCAATCGATCATTTCCATCACCACGCCATTGACTCTTGGCTCGCAATAATCTCTTGTTCGATCTAGAAATAGGCCATGAAATTGGCAGTTTTGTTCTTCGCAAAAGTTTTGATTCCATGTGTTTGCAGCTGAGCCGGAGAGAAACATCCCACTTACATGACGATTTCTTGGCCTATTCTCTCAAGCTGGATATAGTAATGACAACTCGGCCTCTCGATTGTAGTTCTCCGATCAGTATCTTAATTGTCTCTTGTTTGTTGTATCGAGATAGCTGTTGCATACAGTAGCTTGTTCTATACGCGCTTAGTTCTTGAGTCAATGTCCAACACTAAACCCGAGGCTTTTCAACCACTTCTCAACCAACCTCAGTAACCAACAATTCTTGAAGCTATAAAAAAGAAAGAACAGAATCGATATACGATCCAACCTAATCTCCCATCGATTATCTATATCACAAAACAAACCAATCCCCTCATCGTCTAGTCACTAAGCACATCTTGACTTTCCTCTTTCGCTCTCGAGGTAGCGCCACTGGCTCGGCCGCCAAGACATCGAGACTTGGAGTGCGCCAATTGCTTGCTTCAGACTCTTCGCACTCCAGCACCGGACTATCCCTGCAAAGCCAACCCCCTGTCCCCTTCAGTGTCCGCCAGGCCCGTACTCGGCATACCCCTGTACCCCCGTACCGTGCCTAGCGTACCTGCCCCCCCCCCGCCGCCATTCGACCCGACCGCACCGCACCTTCCTTACCTCTGGTCACAGGTGCTGCCCGCCGAATAATAAGTTGGGACAGCCCTCATACATTAAGCGCCCATTCTGAGCCCCTCAACTCTCCCTTGACTCTTGAATTTCTGCTATTTACCACGAATATCCCCTATACTGTTTTCTATTCCCGATCATTCCGCTCTTACGTATCTACCTATTACTCTAAATTCCAATCTGCTGTGGTACTTTGCCCTGCAACGACAATCATGTCGTTGAAACAGGTACAGTCCTCCACTCTCATGTCTTCCAATCAGTCCACTAACTCAATTCCTCTCTTCAGGAAATCGAGACCTGGGTGGCAGCCCTGGGCCGTTACGATAATAATGAATTTGAAGAGGCTCTCAACGAGTTTGGAAAAATTGGCGACACTAGCAAGATCCTCTTCAACATGGGCGTGATCCATGCCACACTCGGCGAGCACGAGAAAGCTGTATGCAAACCTTTGCAGACTATACAATTTAACAATACTAATTGCTTGCCTAGGTTGAGAGCTACCAACGAGCCATTCGACTTGACCAATACCTCGCCGTTGCCTACTTTCAGCAAGGCGTCTCGAATTTCCTCCTCGGCGACTTCGAAGAAGCCCTCGCCAACTTCAACGACACACTCCTTTACCTCCGTGGCAATGCCATGATCGACTACGCTCAGCTCGGTCTTCTATTCAAACTCTACTCCTGCGAGGTGCTTTTCAACCGAGGTCTTTGCTACATCTACTTGCAGCAGATGGAGGCTGGTATGCAGGATTTCTCGTATGCTGTGAAGGAGAAGGTGGTGGAAGATCACAATGTTATTGATGATGCTATAAGAGAACAGGCAGAGGTTTGTAATTCCATAACATTTACCCTGGCTGCTCATCCAACTTGATTAGGGTTATACTGTCTTCTCAATTCCTGTCGGAGTTGTCTACAGACCCAACGAAGCCAAAGTTCGAAACCTCAAAACAAAAGATTATCTTGGCAAAGCCAGACTTGTGGCAGCTTCAGATCGTGCAAATGCCTTCACTGGATTTGCAGGTTCCGAAATCAAGAACGTAAGTGGTTCTCAACGTTTCTATGCCGAAATTTCCTTGACTAACAACATTTAGGCTGGTAAGCTAGAGGTCAAGGATGACCGGCCTGCCGACAATATTTCCTTCGCCGCTACAAATCTCGTCAAACCTGGTCTTTCGTCTCGGAGACAACAATCAGAACCTCCGAACAACCGAAATGTATTTCCGCCAACACCTCCACCCGAGAACGAGCGCCCATCTCGTGCTGCTTCTGTTCGCGGTGGGAAGCCTCAGTTGGCTAAACTCAACATACAGCAGGCCGAGCCAAACCGCCGGTACGAGAAGGCAACTTCACCACCAGATAGCCGTTCTCGGCCCATGCCCGCAAGATCAGCATCTGCTGCTAGTTCTAGAATGATGCAGAGGGAGCCTCAACCTCTCCAGTTAAGACCCCGGCAGATCCCAGAAGAGACAGGGTCACCAGAGGATGTCTATGCTATGTACCAGGGAGGCGATCCTTACCGAAACTCAAGAGGGTCTACCGGCAGTCGGCGCCAGAGACAGCCACAGTATTCTGAAGAGGAAGACGGATCAGATTATGATGGCACCATCAACGAGAACGACTTCGAGATGATCGGTCAACGCCGAGGTCCAGGCTCTGTTTCAGGTCAACGTGGTAACCGACGACCAGAGATCACAAAGATCCGTGTCAAGGTCCACGCTGATGAAGTCAAACTCATCATGATCGCTCCTGATATCAAATACGAAACGCTAGCCGACAAGGTTCGCGATAAGTTTAGTATTAGGCGACGATTTAAGATTAAGGTTAAGGACGAAGACATGCCCAATGGGGACATGATTACAGTGGGCGACCAGGATGACCTGGAGATGGTGATTGATAGTGTCAAGGAGGAAGCAAAGAAACAACGAGCAGAGACTGGCAAGATGGAGGTATGTGGATATTCCCCTTCTTATGGTGCTGAACCCATCGCTAACATAGTTGCAGATTTGGATCTTTCAACTTTAGACATATACCCTGACAGCGCGCATTTGCATTTTGGATATTTACGAATTTCTATCACGAAGCAGTGGCTTGTGAGTTAACCAAGAAATCCCCAGAAAAGACCCTTTTCTGTTCTTGGATTTTTATCATTATCTTAATCTTGTACTTTTCAAAGCATGTCAAAATAGTCAGCATATCAAGGGTCTTGAAGTTAGATGGCAGGCAGCCGGAGTCCGGGGTATTTGATTTCTACCCATCTAATCACTCATACGGAGGGAAGCAGAGAAAAGAACAGGGCGAGACCCAAGGGTTCGCATTCAACCTCAATCATGACGTTATGACAACACCACATTCGATAGTCCATCGTGAAGCAAGTTAGTTGATCGTGAATAGGGGTTGGTAGTAATTACCCCAGCCATGCCAGTCATTGAATCTGCACATAATTTTACAGCTACTCATACAACACATCTCCAATTTAATCCAAAGCCCTGCCCCCAATACTCAATGCCATAGATGACCAATCAACTGGACGACTTTTCATATCTCTGCCGAATGCGTTCGGCTTCTGAAGCTAACAGACCTCTGTTCTCTATCCAGTCCTGACGGAGAGTTGGCCACTAGATTCTAGTTCACCAAGCAAAGAAGCCACGAGATTGGCACGGAATCGCCACTCATCTTGACCCAACACATCAAACAGAATGCGGGACGACTTGCTAACGGCCTGTGAATCACCAATCGCAATTAGGCGAAGAATAGCATGTAGGTCGGGAACCTGATCGGAAGGGATGCTCTCAAATAAGCGGTCAACGACCGTTTCCCAGTCGTCATTTCCTTGCACGGTCTTGTTGACCAATTCAATCAAGTCGAGACGCGGAGTCTCGCTGACGATGGCCGCTCGGTAAATATCAGGAGGAGGGCGCCAGAAGAAGTACGGTAGCAAACGGGCCAAGTTAGCCACAGAGGCATATCGTACAGTTTCTTGAAAGATTATCTTGGAAGTATATGACTGAGATGATTCTGATGAAAGCATGGCTGGAACAGGAGATAAAGGGGCGGGCCAGTCGAGAGGGGTGCCTGTGGGTTGAATGGGCTTGTAGTCATCAGAAATGGACTGGGAGGAGGTGGTGATGGCATGAACTTCGTTGACAAGGGGAGTCACAAGGTAATCTCTTATGAGTTCCTGCTCGCGAGATGTGTGGTCGGCAGTAGGTGTTTTCGTAAGAAGATTTCGATACTCGTGCTGGAAGAAGTCGAGCTTAGTTGGATTGAGTTTGATGCCACCTCGGGTGAACTTATAAGTCAACTGATCCATAATTAGCACACTTATCATGCAGTACTGGCAGCCTGCAGCAGCTTTTAGAAACAAACTTACGTTTTCGGCGACATCACTGAGAGTTCTCGGTGTCTTCGCATCTCTCTTCGTAGACGCACCTAGGTTGGCAAGCCACGCCTGTAAAGCCATAGGAAAGACGTTCTGGTCCATATACGTAGACAGGTCGACGCTGCTATCGCGCTTGCTAAGCTTAGATCCGTTGTTGCTGACGAGGAGGCCCAGGTGAGCAAAGGTCGGGGGCTCCCAGCCGAAAGCTTCATAGAGGGCCAGATGCTTGGGTGTTGAGATGAGCCATTCCTATGCAGATGTAAGTGAATATCGCAGAATTTCAAACCATGAGGATACCTACTTCACCACGGATGACATGTGTAATCTTCATCAAATGGTCATCAACTACATTGGCAAGATGGTACGTAGGATACCCATCCCTTTTCATGAGAACAAAGTCCTCCTCGGGCTCTTTCTTCTGGAAAGGCCCGTAGATAGCATCCTTGAACTTTGGCGTGCCGAAGCGAGTAGAGTCAAGCCGAACGATATGGGCTTCGCCCTTGGCGGCTCGCTCATCGGACTCGGAGCGCGGCAGAGTACGACATGTGCCAGGGTAAGCCGTAGATTTGCCAGCGTCGTGAAGAGCTCGCTTCTGGGCTTCGAGGACTGTTTGATCACAGAAGCAACGATATGCAGAACCATTTTCGAGTAACGTCTGCGTGTGTTCTTTATAGGTCTCCAGACGTTCCGACTAATTATTGTATCAGTACAAGGTGAGGGTGACAAAGTCAAGAGGAGCCTACCTGTCGATAGGGGCCATATGGACCTCCTTTGTCAGGACCTTCACTCCATTCAAGCCCGGCCCATTCGAGATCTTTGAAGATTCGTTCTTCAGCATCAGGCACCAACCGATTCTTACATAATTAGCATGAGTGATTGCAAACCGAAGCCTTACACATCAAAGACTTACTTGATCAGTATCTTCAATTCGGATAATGAAATCACCGCCTTCTGTAGCCTTGGCCACCAAATTGTTGAACAATGCGGTTCTCAAAGAGCCGAGGTGTAGATATCCAGTAGGTGACGGCGCAAAACGTGTACGGATTGGCTTGTCGGCTGATTGTCCAAGGATATATCGCTGATTTGTTTCTCCCCCTTTGACCTTGGTCTCCTTGTTACCAACATTCTGGTTACGCTTCTTTAGAGCCGCCAGTCTTGATGGCTTCTTAATGGATCGATCATGTTTTCCCCCTTGTTCATTGAGTTCTTCTGAAAGACTTTGAGAAGCCTTCTTCGCTGTATCAGAATTTTGATCATGCTGACGACCAACAGAGCTTGTAAAGTTGCGACGAACAAGGAGAGGTATTGGATGATACAAAACCCGATATTGTATAAGGTTTCTTGAAAGCCTCGTTGGGTGGCTTAACAAGGGCCTCATATTGAAAATGTGCCTCTCATGACAAGCTAATAAACGAGTGCGAGTGAGTAAACCAGTCTCATGAGATTGTGAAATTGTGGTGGTGCATGCGCGAGTCAGTGCGCCACACTATGGCGGCTTGTCTCGCCTCATGGAAGCCAGAGCCTGCGATAAGAGTCAAAATCTCTTATCAGTGGACATGAGACCCTGAAGTTTGAATCGCGTCGTTAAACAATGGAGGGGCAGATATTAAGAGATATAAAAAAACTGTTTGTTTGATGTATCGAAAGATACAATGAATCCAAAACTGGATTTAATATAGACTAAAAAGACCTTATCGGTTCTGTTGGAGCTAATTTTACTTGTAACAAGCAAACAGTGGGATTTGCTATCAGAATCAGAATGCCAGGCGTCAACGAACATGACGCAGGCAAAGTCAAGTGCAAACATTTAGATAACTTGTATGATGAGAACTCTGCGTTTAAGCTTCTTATTGTGCATTTAACTATTTGCATCGTAACATCAGAAAACGTCAAGTCGAGAGTGTATTATTAAGGAAGTCTCCCTTGACTTATACTGACAGACTGACTGACTTGGGTATCTTTTTCTCTTTTCTTCTTTCCCTTACGTACCCCGCGCTCCAAATCCGCGCCAAAAGATTTTCTACGGGCCCCTGCTCGTGCACTCAGCCAACAGAGTTGATCGACGGAGCGGACCAATTCTTCATCCTGCATTACAGTACAGCATAAGTACTGTAGCCTATTTTACTGTACCTACCTTGCCTCATCTCCGATTTTCAAGATGGATGAGAACCCTTTCAACGCGGGTGCTCCCGGTGCCGAGGAGGTCGATCTCTATGGTACGTACAAAAAGACAAGTTTATTCCGGCCACTCGTTATCGCCTTAAATTTGTGGTGGTTGATAAGCAAGGCCTGCCTGGCTAACTTGGTTGCTAGAACTTCTGGAGATCGACAGAACTGCCACACCAGATCAGATCAAGAAGGCTTACCGCAAGGTATGTGATCGCGGCTACACAGATCGTACAGCACTTTCTTACAAATTCGAAATAGGCCGCCCTCAAGTATCACCCAGACAAGGTCGCCGAAGAGCATCGAGAAGAATCCGAAGCCAAGTTCAAGGAAGTCACGCAAGCCTACGAAATTCTCAGCGATGAGCAGAAGCGCGAGCTCTACGATGTTCACGGCATGGCCGCCTTCGACAAGTCCCGAGGCGGTCCTGGTGGTCCTGAGGTCGACCTCAACGATATCCTCTCCCAGATGTTTGGCTTCGGCATGGGTCCCGGAGGCCCTGGAGGCCCTGGAGGCCCCGGCGGCGCTCGCCGACCCAGACGTGGTCCCGATGAGGAACAAGAATACAAGGTGACGCTCGAGGAGCTTTACCGTGGCAAGACTGTCAAGTTTGCTGCGAACAAGCAGGTACTTTGCGGCCAGTGCAAGGGCTCTGGGGGCAAAGAGAAGGCCAAGTCTTCGTCCTGCGAGCGCTGCAAGGGCAATGGTATCGTTGAGGCCTTCCGTCAGATCGGTCCTGGTATGATGCGCCGTGAGACCGTTATTTGCGATCACTGCCAGGGTGCCGGTCAGGTCTTCAAGGAGAAGGACCGATGCAAGAAGTGCAAGGGCAAGCGAACAACACAGGAGAAGAAGGTTCTCGAAATTTACATTCCCAGAGGCTCCATGCAGGGCGAGCGTATTGTCCTGGAGGGTGAAGCCGACCAGTACCCAGACCAAACACCTGGCGATATCGTCTTCACCCTTGTGGAAGAGCCCCACGATGTCTTCACTCGCATTGGACATGATCTGTCTGCTGAGCTGACTGTATCACTTGGAGAGGCTCTGTCAGGTTTCTCACGAACAGTATTCAAGCACCTCGATGGACGTGGCATTCACATCGAGCGACCTCAAGGCAAGATCCTGCGACCAGGTGACTGCCTCAAGGTTCCCGGCGAGGGTATGCCTATGAAGCGTGGGGAGACCAAGGGTGACCTCTACCTGATTGTCAAGGTGGAGTTCCCTGAGGATGGCTGGCTGAAGAGCGAATCGGAGTACCAGACACTGCAAAAGATGCTGCCTCCCCCCCCTGCGAATGTTGAAGCTGAGGAAGTTGATGAGGTCGAGTATGAGGATGATGCTGACATCGAGAAGGTAAGCATATTTCTTCGTGACTGGGCTTGAAGCCAGTAGCTAATTCGGTGATAGATGGGTGAGAACTCGGGTGATGGCCGATTCGGTGGTGACTGGGAGGACGACGAGGACGATATGGGCGATGGCCAAGCTCAGTGCCAGACCCAGTGATCGGTGATATCTCTGCATCGACGAAGATGGAATATTCTTAGAGACGTGAAGTTTCTGCTCTGGATTAATGAAGTGATGACTATCTCACGATCAGGGGCAGGTTCGCTGCCATGGCGATGGCGGTGCTAGGGCAACAGGTTTACCAGTATCAGGGCCAAAGTCAGAGGCTTTCAGGATGACATCAAAAGGAGAGACGACTGAAGACTTGTTCGTTTTGGAAAGGAAAATCCAAAATGGTATCATATCATGACAGACCATACACACCAAACCACACCACTCTTGGGTTCAAAGAAGGGACAGGTCTCGGTCTCCAAGGCCGAGAGATTCCGTTGCAGGAGATACATGATAGATAGACTCGTGCATAGACATATTGTAGAGGCTTGAGCTTTAAATTCCCGTAATTAATTGGTGAGATGTTGTGCAAGTGTGAGCGAGAACAAAGGAGAGCGAGGTGAAGTCTGAGGTGGGAAATTGCATCGTAGAGGTACCGACTCTAAAGTCGATACTTCAAAGTGGATCCACCACCTCTTTGGGCTCCTTTAGTCGAATCAACTTACACCGAACAACTCCAAAGTTGATCACTTCCTTTACGTTGACAAGTAGATGAGAGTCAACTTGTATGGGTGCTGATTCTGATGGCATTCTTTGACTCTTGCGGGCATACTCTGTCTGCGCCTAAAGCATCCGATATGCCTAAAATCACACTACTCACTCAATCAACAGCCAACTGATGTATAAGAGCAAGGAGTTCTCCCTTATCTTCCGCTGCCCAACTGTTTGTAGTCTCTCTGACAACATATCTTATTCAGAGTTTTTCGACTTGAGTACGATTTATAAAAATACTCAAAACCACGCATATCGAGGGATCTGTCTCACAATCCCATCTATCTAGACCCACCCCCGCCAATTGACGTAATCCTGAACCTCCACCACTAACATCAGCACCAACCTTACTCCTCCAACAATCCCATTCCCAACTTCCACAATGTCACGCAAAGGCGTAGGCCTTGCGGCCTTTGACCGCTCACGCCTCACATCAGCACAATTCGCATCACATGGCTCCTCCCTGCGCGCCAATAACGCCCAAGCTCTCGAAACACAGCTCGCCGTGTTCCGCTCCCTCCTCCAGCAGTTCGCAAACACACACGCTCGCGATATCCGCTCCGATCCCGCTTTTCGCGCCCAATTTGCTCGCATGTGCGCTGCCATCGGTGTAGATCCACTAGCGAGCAGCAATAGCAACAGTAGCTCGGATGGAAGCTCCATATGGGCGCAGTTACTCGGGAAGACGGTCAACGATTTCTACTTTGAGCTCGCTGTAAGGATTGTTGAGGTCTGCGGTGCCACGCGCGGGGAGAACGGAGGTCTTATCGGTCTGGCGGAGCTCAGAGAGCGAGTTGCCGCAGGACGTATGGATGGCGCTGACCCCATTGCTGATGATGATGTCCGGCGCGCGGTACAGACGCTTGCTCCGCTAGGCGGCGCGTATGCTGTCGTGCGTGTAGGTCGAAAGGAATATGTGCGGAGCGTACCCCGTGAACTCAACGATGACCAAGTCTCGGTCGTTGAGGCGGCGCAAGTCCTGGGTTATGTGAGTGTTGGCATGCTGAGGGATAACCTGGGCTGGGATAGGGCACGCGCCCGAACCGTGATAGACGATCTCGTTGCAGGCGGCATGCTGTGGGTTGACAAGCAGACAAAGGGCGAGTGGGAGTATTGGAGCCCTGGGTTTATGGCCGAGGCTGCTGCTCCGGATGAAGGCGACTGAAGCACCCCAATGCACTGACTTCTCCCTTCTACGGAGTGTCTTGAAACGCGGCAGGCTATACGACTATTGTGGCAAAGCAGAAGCCCCGACCGCGGATCTCATAAGACAAAGCGAGAGTGCTTGAAACTCATGAGGCGCCTGCCTTGTTTTGGTCCGTCATGCAGTCAGGCTACCCGGCTTACATACCCGAGCCTCCATCACTCACCTCGCATGCCATGGTGGGTTGACCAGTTAAGGGACATTTCGCATCCGCAAATAGTCCCGGCACAGCAGTCCGAAGCCACCATCAGGATTTCCAGCCATGATGTCACATGGGAGATGTGAAGAACCCTTCCGAAATGATAGGCCCCCAGGCCTTTCGCTCAAAGCTTTAGACAGATGTCACTCACGTATCAGAGTTATTATTCACATCTCCTCAAATTAGGCTCTAACAGGCCAACCAGGTAATTCTACTATAGAAGGTGTATAAAAAAGATAAAAATACTAGTTCATTTCATTAACCAGCAACTCGCACATACAAACATACACATCTTACCACTTCCCCTCCACATTGCCCTTATCCTTAACCAGAAATTCTCTTGTAGATACATGTTCAACAGCCTGAGTTCAGGACGGGCACCGGTCCAACTCACCCCCTCATCTCGGGTATATACTTGTCAAGCGACACGACCCATCCGAGCATGGGTTTCAACATCATCCACCCATCGCCAAGAAGTCAATGTTGGTTCACTCCTTCGTCACCAGGTTTCCCTCCTCTTTAAATGCTTTAGCGTTCCTAATGCCATCTTCTACCCGTCTTCATTGGCGTGGCTGAGCTCGGATCGGCGCTTGAGATGGAGTCGCTTAGTAGGGAGGGTTGGGGCCACCCATGCCAGGAGGAGGGTAGTCATCGGGGCGGCCTGGTCGCATATCACCGGCGTTGGATCGACGGTCGTCACCGAAGTGCTTCTTGCGGAGAGCTGCGAGACGCTTCTTCTTGGTGATGGTGTTGATGTAGGTGCCGATGATGAAGGACACAATGTTGAAGAAGGGGACCCAGAGCTGGTCAGGGAGGAACTTCTGAGCAAAAGCCAGGCAGATAGGCGAGGTGATCCACGAGACCCGCATCACCTTCCAGAAGCCGACCTTGACGGTAGCACGAACCTGATGGTAGGTGCGAGCGCCGGCAATGAGAGCCATAGCAACGAGGTAGACGCTGTTCTGGATAGGAGCGATCTAGGGGTTGTGTTAGCGACTGATGATACAAAACTGGGTCCTTCAAATCTCGCTCAAGTTGCGTCCCCAAGTTTTCTCCGGACATGAACGTCCTTCAATCGCCTCACTTGCAACTTGATCGTACAGGCTTGTTCTATCAAACCATCGATCTCTGCCTCTAAATGCCCACGAGCTGGACAATCAAGGAATGTTGTTTATAACTTACAATGAGATTGCTGACAAGAATCTGCAGAATCTTGGCGCGCAGGCTGGTACGGCCCTTGAAAGCCTTCTGGAGCGCCCAGATGAGGAAATGGCCTAGAGGAGCGCTGATGAGAGCACCATATGCGGCCATCTTGGGAACACGAGCAGTGAAGTAGTTGCCGTGCTTGTTGCGGTCCTTGGCGAGCCATGAAGCGACGAGCTCCTGTGTACCAGCAAGAGTACCAGCGGTGAGCATCTTGGTGCGCAGAGGGTTGTCCTCAAGCTCTTTGATGTAAGCCTATCAGGTCGTTAGTCATGATCAGTGTGGTTTTCCTCCGGGATCATGCGGAGCCATAGCATCATAGCTTGGGGAAGTAGCTTATGCGCGTTCTAGCTTCCGGCATCCTGAGCAGGTCGGGTCTCCAACGTACCGCCAGATAACCCTTAGTACCAGCGTTCTTCATACCACCAGTCAAAGCTGTACCGATCACAGCAGAGACGGGGTGGTGGCCCTTTGTGCCGGGAATCTTGCCAGCTTCGGCCTGGTCAAGCATGTCGCCCATCTTCTCAGTGGCATCGTGGACCTTTTCCGACACCTTGGTGACGGTTTCACTCTTGAAGTCAACCATGCTTGCTATTATTCGGCTATATGGCGGTGATGGTGAAGGGTATGATTAAGTAAGAAGCGCGTTCTAGTTCGAGGTCCAGATAAGAATATTATTTTGATCCGACTCAGGGCAAATTGCTCCAGATTGAATGATGCCTTTTGATCTGTTCGACCTTGGTTTGTTTTCACGGCGCGCTATGTCCTTTCGTCGTCGTCGTGATCGTCCTCGTCGGATGTTATCGTCAAAGTCAACACGGCCGCGACGGCGTCATCAACGGGTTGAGTCAAGGGTCAGACGCGCAAAAGAGACTTTGATCGAATCGTCAGTGAGGATGTCCAAGATAAACAGGTGGGGTCTAATGATCGCGGATCGTTATTGACATGGGGATGAGGGAATGTGCGCGCTCAACAGTAGCTGGACATGACAATGGATGACAGGAGAGAGGACTTGACAAGATGGTGAGAGAATATTGAAAGGCAAGGATTGAGGTGGGTCAGAGTCAATTGAGGTTCTCGTGAGGTATCTAGCCAATGGCTTTGTTTACTCGAGCAACAAGACCAGAGAGGTTGAGGGAAGGGCTGCAAGTCGATGATGACGGGTGATGGAAGGTGATGGATGCTGTTGTTGTTGACGTGGAGTTCCAGCTCATCCCAGTCCAGGGTAATCGGAACAGAGAGGAAAGAAAATAAACTTACAAGCGCCGGTGCCGAAGGATGATGATGGTGGTGATGATGCTAAGTTGAAGATGGTGAGATGGGGGAGACAGACGTGGACGTGAGTGGAGCGTAGCGGTTGGGTTGGTGTTGATTTGTTTGTCTCAGGCCTTAGGTGCTAAGGATGGAGGTGACCGATCTGGGGGGACTGGGAGCTGGGAGGAGGAGGAGGGACCTGTGCGTGCGTGCGTGCGTGCTGGACTGGGCTGGACTGGACTTTGACTGGGAGATGAGATTGATGGGCGAGAGAGAAGTCAAGTCAAGTCAAGCTCAGCTCACTCCAGACACTTGAGCTGCAACAAGACAGGGGCAACGTCCAAAGACGGTGGCTGGGGGATGTAGAGTTCGTGTACCGTTGCAGCATGGCGCAAGGCTAAAGAATACTCAATCGATACATTAATCTACCCAGTCCACAATGCCTCGGCCCGCTGTAAATAATAACAATCGAGCCAACCAAATCTCTCAAAACAAAACAGTGCTTACCCCTGGTAAAATGGGTGCCTCCATTCGGCAGCTTCAGCTACCGCGGCTCCAGCTCCCAAATTGGCGAGCTTGCGTGCTGACATCCACTCAGAATCCACCAGCTTCCTCTTATGTACAGCAACCCAGTCGATGGAGCTCCCCGGGCCTTGAATGGATATTTCAGCCACAAGTGTCCGTCCGTATTCTTCCTCTCCCACTTCCACTCTTCGGCTGTCTCCTTGCCCAGACCTCGGTCTCCTCCAATATTCTCTATCTATCTACGAAACATGAATAGCTTCATGTACTATCAGCACCCTATTCTCACTCGCTTGTTCTGCACGACACTACATGAAACTACCGAGTTGGCCTAACCTCCTTAGCCTCTTCGGTAATCATGGCCGGGACGTGTTGAAAAAAGAGTGGTTGGGTCAAACTTTGCATACAGAGGCATACACTCACTCCATGCGCATACAGGGATCCCTTCACGTGAAAATGGCTCCTCCAACATCCGGAATCTTCTCGCTATAAATGATGTATGTGTATATATATGTATGCAAATACTTCTTATCAACAGAGGCGCCCTCTGTAAACTAGGTCCCAAGGATATGTCAAAATGCCCAAAGCACGGCCCGAGGATTCGATTCATGCCAATCCTCGCTCAATCAAAGGCCGTGCCCTTCAAACGCCTATACCTAACACAACGGACTGTCTTCATGGACGTGTCCAGAACCAGCAATCCATATTCCCCCTAGATAGTCAAGTCGTTCAACGAATCAAGAAAGAGATCTCCTTTTCATACAGAGCTAAGCCTCTGGCCCAGCTGTTAAAGCCAACGATGTACTCAAAACGCCCTCGTGCTTCGACAAGCTATTTCATACTGAGCCGCGAAGCCGTTGCTTTCTAGCCAACCAGTCCCCGAGCATATTGTCAAGTTGCTGTAGCTGCATTAGTATTGTTGCAGAATAATATATGCCCAATGAGGCGACAAGGAAAATACTCACAGTGGTAATCTCCGCTAGCTTCGCGTTCTGCTCTCTAAACATACCACTAACCACCGGGTGGTCTTTGCCAACAGGTTCCACGTCTGTCTTGTCGTACACGACCATGAGAAGATCTCGAACGTGCTCACCATCATCAAAGAAGGCACGAAGCTTCTCGTCATCCCAGCCAGGTTCTTTGGCACTTTTCGTTGAGCTACTATCCTTGGGTGTCTCGTCACCAGGCATGAGCTCTGGTGACGGTACATCGGAGGACGAGCGACCTTCTTGGGAGGACGTGTCGATCTCCAGTGCTGGTGGCCGTGTTACGTTAACAGGTGACACCTGCACCGGTGATTCTGACAGACGATCCTTCTGGCCTTGGCCTGCAGCTGTGGATGCGTTCGGCTTGGCGGCTGCATCGAAGCTATCAGGGAACGCTCCTGGCAGTTGTGGCCGTAGTCCACCCTCGGGCTTCTTCTCGGCGGGTTGCTCTGGTGTCGTTCGGTTCGTAGGCTGAGACACATCATCCTCGTCGGAGCTTGACAATTCATCCAGATCCATCAATGGACGAGGCTTGACTGTCTTGGTTGCCCTAGGCTCGCCTCCTGTGCTTGCGCTGCGGCCCAGCGCCCTCGCCAATGCCTTCGTATCGTCGTGTTGTGCAGCGGCTGAGGAGGACCGTACCTTGGCCGGATCCCCGCCAATTTGTGAATTTGATGGCACTTCATGTGTCTCTTGTGTCTCGGGATTGACGATCCGCATCGACGCCGGTGGCACGTTGGACACATCGTTGACCCGAGACTCGGCCAGATAAGCTGCGAGTTCCATTGTCGATGAGGTCTCCCCGCCCTTGCCAGGAGATGCTTCAGTTCGGGGCATCTGCTTTTGAAGTTTGCTAGTGCTCCGTTGCGGTTGTCTGTCAGGCGACGCGACCTCTTCAATTGACTCGCTGTCCCGAGGCTCCGATACAATATCCATAGAGCGCTTGCCAAAAGATTCGTCGTCATCATCAACCGACTTCTTTCTGTCCTTTCTGGAAAAGAAACTTCGGATGGCGCTCGGCTTCTTTTCCTTCTCTTTCCGAGACTTATCTTGGTGCTTCTTCTTCTCCTTATCGGACATGAGCTCCTTGTCCATCTTATCAAGACTTCCTCGGGACTTGATGTCCTTGGTTGTTGAGTCCTGGGAAGGCCGAGGTTGATTGTCGTCTCGTAGCAAGTTAGGCGTGAGAGTAATCTTCTTGGTCTCGACTGTCTCATCTCTAAAGAAAGAGTCGGTGTTTCTGACAGTACCATTGCGGGATCTGCTGGGGCCTTCCTGTTTGTTGTCAAATAGTATTTCCTCACTGCTTCTCGTCTCATCTTCCTCTTCCACAGTGTCGACCTTCGACGGCTCCATAGCCATTTTAACTTCTTTATTTGAACGGGGCTTAAGAGGCTCAACCCTGGCGCTCTCCTCTGATGAATCATCTTCTATGATCGATATTGTTGAAGCTGGATCTCGGGTATCTTTCTTTTGTTCTTGTTGTTGATCTTGCTTGGTTGTGGTGGTCGAGCCGGCGAATAAGTCGTCCAAGTCTTCTTCGTCGGATGAATAGTCGTCGATTTCAGTGTAGTCATGGTACGTTGGGGAAGTGAATGTGACCGTTTTGCGTCCAAATCTAATTGGCGATTTGAACGTCTGTTGCTTCTTCTCCGCCGTATCCCCCAACATAGTTGCAGAGAGCTGTATTGATTTTTAGCAACAATTTTGGGTCTTGGACCAAGTCAATTTACGTACATCAACATTTCTGTGTTTATTCAGACGTGCTAGACGTTCCGTCGGCGTCTCAATATGCTCTGCGGGTAGATATCCTGGTATTTCTTTAGTCACTAGCCAGTAGAAGTGGAAATCTTTGCACTTACCAATGCTGCTGTCTTTAACAACTCTGACCAGCCACCAGTAGCTGTTGCTATCATCTAGCAAAACCATAGTGTCACCTTTGGTTGCATTTGCTTGACCTTCAACGGTAGCCACGAAAGTGTGAAGGGCGTAAACGAATTCGAAATCAATGTCCTCTATGTCTTGTAAGCACTCGACCGCCCAGCCCGAGTCAATGAAATTGTAGTCGTCAGGAATGGAGAGTGCAGAATCATCGTCTTCAAAAGATTCTTCGTAGGGAATAGTCAGCGCGGGATCGAAGTCGGGGGTTTCGTCGTCGTCCAAATCCGAATCGGATAGATCCAGCATTGGATCACAGTCATAGAATATGTCCTGCTCTCTGTTATCGACTACGGTGCCCTTTCCTCCAATACTCGATCCTTCAGCAGAAGGATGCTAGCCTTCGTTACTGTTGGGCCTAAACTGTGGTTCCACTTCTTCAAATGTTTCGTGAAATTCGGCCGTCGAATTGGACGTTGTCCAGCTATCGTCGGGTTCGGGTTCGGCGTCGTTACTGTGCTCGTCGCGACCGTTATACTCACCATGAAGACGATGGTTCCGGACTTTCGTGGGCAATGCTCGTGGAAGCTGCGCAATTGCGCATGGGCTGGGTACACAATTGGGGGGTTCGGGATATGGCGAGCAAACTCTGGTGCCGCTTGAACCAGAGATACTGGGAGTACTACTCCTTTGCGAAGGTAGGGAAGAGACACGGCGCGGCCATGCCACAGGGGCAGCGACGGGGGAGCACCCACCATCTTCAATCGAAGGCGAACTAGAGATCTTATCCATCATATCGTCATCGAGGTCATCGTCGCCGTCGAGCTCGCCCTCATCCGAAGATGAGACGCCTCCATTCTGCGCAATTGCCAGTGCATCTTCTTGGTTCATATTGCTATTCTTGTCGCGTGCACCCTGTGCGCGAGTATTCCCACTCGTAGAATTTGCGACAAGTTCGTCTGCGAAGGAATCAATTTCGTCGAGGCTGTTGCGGTTGTCGAGAGAAACTCTTGGAGAGCGTCGCTGTTCGTCTGCAATGTCGTGTGTGACCTCACGAATAGTCTCAGCTTGGTGGGGACCTAGGGAGTTGGCGTTGCCGCCCAGACGTGGGCTTTTCGAGTGGTCCTGGGCGGATGGAGAGTGATGATCTTGAAGATCGATAGTATCTGCGATCGGGGGAAAGGTTCGTAAACGTCAGTTTGTGGTGTCGTCAAAAGAAGCGTGTGGACACAAGGAATGAGAAAGCAGAGGACTAAGTCGAGTGGTTGGAATGTATCGTGACTTGCAGCAACCCCGGAGAGCAATAGAAAGGTTCGAGCTTGGACAGTGACCAGGGGGCAAGGGTAGACGAAAGTACGATGAAACGTAAAGAAAAAGAAAGTAATAAAAAAAAGAATGGGCAAGGGAGAAGTTGGCCGAAGGTCTACTTCAAGGGTTCCATGTGGTTGAATAGACGAAGTTTGTATGTAAAGGGGGCAGGGGAAAGAAAGTTGTACTCTAAGAGGGACCGACGAAACAACACGAGGATGAGGCTGCGCAAGAGGCGATGCACCCCAATCGCAAATCCCAAAGGCTGAGACTTAGGGTGACATTGGCGTTGGCATCTCGTTCCAAGTATAAAAGGCAGGACAGCAAAGGCAAAACACTAGGCACATACCGGCTCGGACGATCGATGGTCGTGTCATTTTGACGGGTGGAAACGACGAGCGAGGGCGTCAACAAGTCACTCTGCTCCAACTCTGTCCCTGAAGGCGCAAGGCACCAAAAGATGGGATATGCTTGACCCCTGGCGCCAGAGAAGCGCCGTCTCAATTTTTTATTTCAAACTCGGGGCGTTGGATGCTGACGGCTGGGGGCCGGGTTTTTTGTTGCTTGTCTATGCCGTTGCGTGAGAGGCGGGCGGTAGATCCTTGCGAGGATGTTCTCGTCCAACTCAGAGGTACCTGATTGCTTTGTTTGTTTGCTTGTTTGCTATGGTCGTTGGGGGCGTTGCGATATCAGGCTTTCGGTCGTGGTACTCGCTTGGATTTGGTGTCGCTCAGCGTGGTGAGCAAGGTTGCGCCCGTAAAAGTCAATCGATCAACCAATATGCCCAGTGGCCAGCCACGGGCTCGTCCAACATGAAGCTGCTTCTGCGCAAGTGAGTGGGAATGGATCTGAGTGTCGAAAAACTGGAGAGAACGAGCGACGATCTTTGTTCCGTGTCTGTGTGGAAAAAGGATGGCGTAGCAGTAGGTAATAATAATAATAAAGTGAACTGGCCTGGCCTAGCCCAAGTTTCGTTTCCTGGCGGGACCTTGGCAGCAGGAGTCCGGGCACCAAAAAAGATTGACTCCACTGCCGCAGTGAAACTACCACTGATACTGTCACTGTCAGGCACCTCTGTTGGTGTGGTCACTGATTCAAGAGGAACAGATCTAACGTTTTCTGCCCTAACAATCCCTCTAGAATCTTTTTAGCAAATTTTCGTGTTTCCTATTCTAACCACGTAGTCTAGATGCCAAAGCCCCTAATGCACTTTGTCTATCGCAAACGGGTGATGTTAGTGCGGAGGGGGACGAGCCCGTTGAATGGAGCGTCACCCGTTTCAGATAACTCGTCCATCCAGGTTGAAAGCAGCTCGATAATCGAGAGCAAAAGATCTACTGCACGGAAACAAAAGTGGAGGCTGCGGTTTAATGGCCGGTCTATTAGACCATTTTTAGGGCCAAGACGGGAGAGAACGATAAATGGAAGCAAAAGAAAAGAAGAGCGCGTGATGAGACGACGATACTGAGAGCAGGGGTCTCTTTTACACTGACTCTCCGTTCTCCCTGTGAAGGCTGAACCAGTCAGAGTAAAGGATCATGATGCGAGCGGCAGCATTGATTGAGAAGTGAGCTAGATGGAGTCATGCAGCGCACTGTAGAAAAATGACCACTCGCCCATTGACAGTGCTTTCGTTTCATTTATATCAGCTGCATCTCACTTACACTCCATTAAATGTATTGTAGATAGTCTCCTCTTGTGGTGGCATTGTACCTCTCGCCGATTCCGTGACAAGACGGGATGGAGCGCGTTTCCCATTAAAACCCCTGAATGCTTAGCGTTTCCAAGAAACCGTAAACTTTGGCTCTAACGCAACCGGGGAATCGTTCAGGGCCACCCGCGTCTCGGCGGAGCCCTTGAAACGCTGAAACGTCCAGGCGCCCAATGGGTCTTGCTCAGGGGAAATTGAGTTCATTGGCTGTGAGTAAATGTTCCCTTCCAGCTTCAATCCACTTTATGAAAATAAGACAGTCCTTCAATTGACTTTTCAACGTCACTCCAGTTATGTAATTAAATGTCACGATGTACCCGAGTTCGTCAATTTGATGCTTACTCGGTTGCCAAGTCGGTACTCTGTGTGGCAATCATTGTAACCCTCAGTGGCCTCAAAATCACCTCTGTAGTCTGTTGTCTGTGACCTCACATGTCCAAGTCAACCACACCATGAGGTATGCAGTGCAATTACCCAGCATACCATTGGATTACATCAAAACACCGTCTTGCAGAGGAAACGACCATTCGTCTCTTATCATGTGCTTCTTTACCAACTCGACCATTTATACAGCAGATCAGCCATACAGCCTTTGCCACGATAAACTCATTGTACATATGAGGAGGCCATAGTACGACCTCACGCATATCTGCATGCAAATTGTTGTCCCGCCAATGAACTATCAACATGAAATCAAGCTATCAATACATGACACGTGACAATGCTATGCATCCCATGTACCAGGTAGTCTAGTGTGTTCTATTTCTATCACACTCAGCACGACTGATAGATCACTTTGAGCAATCAGATCAAAGTCGTTCGGTAATTCTCCTGAGACAATCAGGCGTCTCAAAGTCTTTCTCCAGCGTGCAACAGCAGAAGCAAACAGAAACAGCACAAGTTTCACTTGATGAACTCACCAAGTAAAGTCACCAATGTGGGAAATAAAATATGAACTTCAAAATCTTGATTAATATCGACTAAATAAACATAGTCTTTTCTGACTTTTCTTTAACCTTGACCCATTCATTAGGCCCATGCCAGGGCCGTCCCAAACATGGCAAACACACCGTGACAATGCTCATCTCTCATCAGAGAAAACAAATAATGCTATGCTTATAAACAATTCAAATCATACGCTTCAACACCGTTCCATGCAATCAACTTTTTAGTTGGCGATCTGGGCCATACGCTTAGACATACTGTCGCAATAGTTAGCATATGTTCTGGTATCATGGTATCATGGGTTACACTTACAAGTCGTAGAAGGCAAACTGGCTGGGGCTGCTGCCGAACTCGTACACGAATCGACTGGCAAGGTAGGAGCCGAAGATGCTTCGGAGGTAGGAGTCGGGGATGCGAGCGATCAAGGTGTCGAGACCAATCTTCTCGAGGAGAAGACGGGGCAGAGCATCTTGAAGAACAGATCGGCGGATCTTCTCGTTGTCCCAGAGGTCGGAGTGCTGGAGCTTCTCATCGAGATCGGTAATGGCAACGGAGAGCTTGTCAGAGAGGATAGATCGGGGAGTTCCGGTCTGCTCATGCTCGCGCCAGATAGCCTCAAACTCAAGGCGGGCGTTCTCCTGAATCTTGAGCTGAACCTGCTTGACGTAGTCCTTGTAGAACTGAGGAGCCTCTCCCTGGGCGTTGTGGCACATGTTCTCAACGAAGCCCTCGTCGTCGAAAGACAGAGAAGCAAGAACCTCAAGGGAGGACGATGTCACACCACCCTTGTTGGCAGAGGCATCCTTGTACAGAATGCAGCCAGCAGCCTCGAGGCGAAGCTTAGCCTCCTGGGTAATGAAGAGGTTGGCTCCCTCAACGAGGTAAGGGATGATGCACTTGCCATCCTTGATGAGACGGTTGACCGAGATGAGGTCAATGGAGGCGGGACGACCACCACAAGGGACGAAGCAGTCGACACTGCCAGTGTCACGGAGATGGAAGGTGTTACGGAACGATGTACCGTTGTTGATAACCTCGCCATTGGGGAGAGTGATGTTGACGTCGTCGCACAGGACTCGGTAACCCTCGGGAGACAGCTTGGAAATATCGTACTCGATGATCATCTTGCGGCCGTTGGCAAGGCGCAGAAGCTCGTCACGGTCGAGACCGTTGGGGTCAGCAAGAACTCCAGAGCCATCCACAATGGCAGTGTACTTCTCGTTACCAAGCTTGATCTCGTTGCTGCCCAGGTCACCATCGGGGCCACCAGTCTGCATCTTGCGGATGGTAGAGGGGTCAAGCTCGAGCTTTCGGTAGATACCCTTGACGTACTCACGAACAGACAGAGTGGTCATGCCGTAGGTGTCGTGAGGAATACCACCAAGCTTGGGAGACTTGCCAGTGAAGAAGGACTTCCACCAGGGGGCGCCACGGGATCGAGCGTGCTCAGTAGCCCAGTCGACCAGCTCAGCGGTGTTCTCATCAGGGCCCATGAAGATGATCTCCTCCTTGCCGTAGAGGTCGACAACAGGGTTCTTGATACCAGGGGTCTCGGCGGGCAGAAGAAGATCCAGGATACTATCAATGTACTTCTCGAAAGCCTCACGGGCACGGTTCTGCTGCTTAGGGTCCAACAGAATAACACCCTTGGAGCCACCCTCGGGAATGTCCTTGTTCTTGCGCTGCTGTGTGCTGGCAAGACCGTAGTTCTCATCGAAGATGCTGCGGGCGTTGATGCCATAAGCCTCCTTGTTGCGAGACTTGACGATTCGGATACCACCGCGAGAGATATCCTTGAATCGGAGGTGGAAACCTCGGGACTCAGAGCTGATGACGAGGAACATGCCGTAGAGGGGCTTGGGGTACTCGACCTCGGGGAGGAAAGATGGGTCAAGACGGAAGCTCAGAGCGACCTTGGTAGGGGTGAAGTAGTTGGTCTTGAGGATGGCGTTGTTGAACACACGGAAGGCAGTGAGAACCATCTCATCATGCTCGTTGTTGACGTTCTTGGAGATCTTGTCCTTGAGAGCGTCGTCGGAGAGAACCTCGACGGACAGGCTGGAGGAGACAACCTTCACGGGATCCTCCTGGTCTTTAACAAGGTGGATGTTGGCGAAAGAAGCGTAAAGAGCACGAACGAGACCGGGGTAGTTCTGAATAATCTCATAAATGTACTCAGGGGTAAATGTCTCAGAACGGAGACGGCGCTTCAGGTTAGAAAGGAGGGCCTGCTGAGCGTTGTTCTTAACATCCAGAAGCTCGGCAAGAGTAGAGTACTCTGGTCCCAATCGGTTCAGGAAGTGCTGAACGAACACCCAAGCGGAGTGGGCGTAGACGGATTCCTGAAGGCTGAGCTGTCCATCGAGGAAAAGGTTGTGGAACTTGTTGTGGGGGAGACAGTAGAGGAGAGAAACCTCCTTGGAGATCTGGTCAATGGACTCCTCAATTGAAGGGAACTGTCCACTGCTCTCGACGGTGTCAGAAGTAGGTCGGAGGTAGACACTCATGACGGTGATACCGTTGGAGAACTGCTCGAGGTACTTTCGAGATGAGGTGACGCCATAGTAGTGGTAAAGGTCACTGAGGGCAGAGAAAAGACCCTGGGCAGTGCGAGAGCGGAAGGCAACGACCATTCGCTTCTCGTCGGTGTTCTCAATATCGAAGACCTCGATGACGGGACCAGCTCGGTTAACGGCGAGCTCAATGATGTCCTGGTAGATTTGCTTGGTGTTGTCAGTGGCCTTGCGGAGGAAGCCGTTGTCGGCAATGAGCTCCAGGTTGGTCTCCTTGGGGTCGGTCTGCTCAGGTGGAGTGGCAAACTGGCACTGGTAGACGAAGTAACATCGGAGAGTTGCCTTGGAGCTGGGGCTCACGACAGCGGGAGATCGGAAAGTCTCAACGCGGTACTTGCTGTGGCCGGGGTGATCAATGTACTTGGCCTCGAGGCGTTCCTCATAGCGAGGACCAGCAGTGTTGGTCTTGCCAGCAACGCTGGTATCAATGTAGATGGCATGGTCGTTAGCCTCCATATCCAGTCGGATCTCCTCCTGCTTATCCTCGCGAGCGAAGGAAGCGACCTTAGCGGCATACAGAGAGGTGATGTGGCTTGAGATGACATCGGGGGTCTCAAGCTCGAAGTAGACATCATCGATGCCAAGCTTCTCGTAGAACCACTCGATCTGCTCATCAATTTGAGGCTCGGGGACGAAACCAGCAGCTGAGATGATAGACTTCACAGTCTTCTTCTGCTCAGGCTTGCCAGTGAACTCAGGGGCAATGTAGCCAACGGTGGCAGATCGCAGAATGCGGTGGCCGTTGCCGCCATTGCCATTTTGCAGAGGAACGGAGAAGTGAGTAGGCTGGGGAGAAGGACCACGGCTGGCCTCAGTGGCCTTGACGTTAGCCACGGGGTTGGCGGAAATGGCAGTCATGTTGGATTTCTGATATGGATCTGTGTAATCAGGGAAAGTCTGAGAGGGCAGCATGTTAGTGGGCGATTCTGTTATAGGCGCCATCTTGGCGAGATGCCTAGATGGAGAGTGAAGTTTGGTGGTGTAAACGCAAGACGACAAAACGAAATGATTGAAAACAGTGATGGGATGAACAAGATGGAGACGAGATGAGCCAGCTGCGAGTGTCTTATATAGACAGTTCGGCTTGAGCAAACAAGCCTGAAGATAACAGTTCTCCAGTCGTCACCGCTGTAGCCAACTCAACCAGAGTTTCGGTCAGAGCTCGTGACTCAAAGCGAACTAAGGAAAGGAGGCATTTGATACGGGGCTGCTGACCCAGAGGCTGCCCTGCGCCCGTGAAGGCCAAACTCAATGATCCAGTGATCATTGGTATTGAACCCGTCCCGGGAGGCTCATTCCAGGTCCTATCCGGGGCGTCCATGCTCGCACTCACTGGACGCCACTAGATCGGGGACCTGAAAATGCACTGCAGATGCTGGGGCTGGGGCTGGGGCTGTTTGCAGCACCTAATGCGAACCGCTCAGCTCGCTGGGAAGCTTATCTCTGATACGGAGCACCAGAATCCCGGTGTAAGCCGCCCGGGCCGGCTCTCGTATTCTCGCCATTGGGTAGTGAAAATCAGGGGGAGGCCAATCAACGGCACCATGGATTCGCGATAAGGGCAAAATGACGAAGGGGTAGTGGGCAGTGCTGTAGTCAGATAAGACTTATCCGCTACTTACCGGCTAGAGTTTGTGACGATCAATTCGTTTCGTCACTGAAAATAGATAATTCTAGGTCGGTAATGCCGAACTTATAGCGGGGCCTTCTAAAAGAAGATGACGAGAGGAAGTTATTCAGAAGAATAACAACAAGATTGCCGTAAAAGGTTCTCAGATGAGAGGAGGGTTGGTTAGAGTTCTGACGGCAGGTTAGTATATCTGTCATACACTGCCAACCTGAGCAGGCGTTTGACTCGGTGTGCACGAACTCAGCGCAGCCATCCGTCAGCCCTGTCGTAAATAGAAACTGAAGACGGTATGTCTAGAACAAGAGATAACAAAAGCTCTCTTGATACGTCGAGGTTGGTTTGAGATGACGAGGTTCAAAGCTCAAGCCAGGACAGGGAATATGATCTCTAAATAAAGACGAGGTAGGAGTGATAAGGGGTTCAAGGTAGATAGAAGAAGGCTTCTTTTTGTGAGGAGAAGCAAATGCAAAATGCAATAGGTAATCAACAAGTTTGAGGTCAAGTGACTTATCTCTCCAACTTTCGAAGCCAGAAGATATTGGGACTGGCGATGGAAGCTTTATATACTGTCCGTGTCTAAGTGTCTCTCAACGACGACCCAGAAGTCTACGATGGTACAAAGTACCTCCCGGTCTTTTACAATGGGGTACGTACCAGCATTAATGTCTCCATTGACTCCAAACATGTCGACATATTGCCTTCTCTTACACCGTCTCGCCTGTAGGTACCGAGTAAAAGTTGTCACGCTGCCATAAAAAAACCACATCCCTTGCCAGGTCCTGGTCTTCCGCTCACCTTACCTACACACCCCCCTTCCCGCTTGTGGGGCAGACCCTGCTGGGAGTTTGCTGGGCATGAGGCCGGCGGGTGTTTATTTTGCGGTACGTGTTTGTTTTTTGCCTTTCATTTGCACCGGGCAGACCGGAGAAAAAGTGCAGTGGACAGCAATAGGCACAGCGAATGACCCCCGCCACAACTCTCTACAGCAGCTTACTTACAGCACATGCAGCACATTCACAGAGCTTATGATTTGCCCAGTCACTTGGTTCGATTTCCTCATATTTCACTTGGCAATCAGCAAAGTAGAAACTTGGCATACACAAGAAGAGATAGAAGTATTCAGACAATAAACATCACCGGCCCGGTCGTCCTGAGGCCTCTCCTCCCCAATTGGTACCTGCTCGCTACTGTACTGTACCACTACCACCCCTCCTGAAGCGGAGCCCAGCCCAGCTAAGCCCGCCAGAAGAGTCGAGAAGAAAGAATTTTGGCTGCAGCAACACCCCCGATCGTGATCATGACCTCACGGAGTACAGTGCAGTACCTACAAGAAAAAGTCCCATTCAATTACCCAATAGTGCCTCTGGTCTAAACCTCAAAGGGAAGCCTTGTTTGGAACCTGACTTCTCTCGCCTGGACCAAGCGCCTGGTTCCTGAAGAGTCTGTAGGTGAGGGAGCCCCCAGGAATTATTCAGATTTACCAGTGGGGAAGAGGCCCGGTTATTCGAGGCTCTGCAGTTTTTGCATGGAATCCCGCCTTCTCCAGATTTTCGTTTGACATCACTAGTGCAAATTTGTTGCCAATGGGAGAGTCGTTTGCTAGACTTTAACTCTTCTGCCAGTTTACGTCGATATCTTGTAACAACTTCACGTACCACACATTCTCACATAATGGATATCAGCGTTTAGGAAATGGCTTGAAAAGTTTTCAGAAACTAGCTGGGTCAGGACAAACGCTCTATTTGACAGGTTGGTCACTGTAAGTCGACATAAAGAGCCTCCAGCTCCATTTGCAGACTTTGATAACGTAAGTCTACATAACTATCCATGCGCTATGCATGAAAACGGCACCATACACTTAGCTTCTTTCGTTCACCCAAACGGTGTGGAGAATGGTGCGATTCAACTCAATTCACTCACCACTCACCTTGGCTCGCCCTGCGGGTTTGTCTCTGCGAGTCATCGTCAATGGCAACTTCGTGACATGCAGATCCGACCTTGAATTCCGGTTTTTCAATGCTCTCTCTGTTTTGGGTTTCAGAGGATTATTACAGCGCTGGACTACGGTATCCCACAAGATCCCGGTCAACATGCACGTTGCCCTGGCTGTGCTTGTCCGAGTGGTCGTAATAACTGCCTGAAATGATGTTGCCATGATGTGCTTCAAGCTGAGCCGGACCGTATTAATAAATCATACAGTTCTGACATGCGAAACCGCCAGGCCAACAAGAATGACGATTCGTACGAAAACTGGATCGCCTGCATTTGACTAGTTCCACGTCTGGTTGACATTGACTTCTAGTGATATCTATTTGGAGCATGTTTGATAAATGTCATGTAGTTTCGAACAACGTCGACTTCAATGGGCCCATGTATCAACAATTATGTCAGCCCATGGTTTACGTGGTGTAAGATAATGCTGGGATTTCGCATCAGCCAAGAAACTATATGCTTTGGTTGGTTCTGAGCCTGCCAACAAGCGACGAATAGTTCACCTCCATGGAGCCTTGCTCAATATCGTTCTAAGCCATCAAAATCTTGACAAGCCAAGAATCCGCCTCAAAGGGTACGGTACCTGAACCGAATTCCTACACGACTCACTACCCCAGACGGGAAGCTGGCGTTGAACGCTGACCGCAGCAGCAAATGCCAGGCGAGCTAGCTGAAATGCCCTCGTACCCCAGACAATAGAATCCAAATCTGGCTCACCTGACTTAAAGAAAGCAAAGCCAGTGCTCACCGAACTTTCCAGACCTTGGCCATTCTAAGGGGGACGATCACGGGGCCGGGACTAGTCTCGATTTCTAGGGGAAATAATTTCGCCTTGGGGGAGATCCATTCCCCAGATCCAGTAACAGTCAAGATCATGAAGTTAAAAGAAAAATGTGTTGGCAAGGTGATACTTCCCACCCTTCTTCTTCCCCAAGATACAAGTAGACAAGGGAGCAAGGGAGAGCACAGCACACCGGTAGGCTCTGACCTGTCGCTATTGAAGGAGCCGGACCACAACAAGGTTCCTCCGGCCGTCGCGGGGCCGTTGGTTCGGTACTTACGTACAGGTACCTTCTCCGGGGTACCATCAATGACACAATGGTTGAGGTCGAGGGGTCGTCGAGGAGCACTTGACTGCAGCACGAGGGGGTTTATTGCGAAACGAAGGGCAAGTCTGGCATAAGACAGGAGTTGCACAGCATAATGGCTTTCTTGAATGATAGAGTTTAGACAAGATTGGTCAGTTCGTTCTTGAGCTGCCCTGTTGTCATCAACAATACTACTCTTCAATGATTCATCTGACCTGGAACAGGAGCTCTAATTCTCCAATCCCAGACTCCAGACTCTGGACAATCCCCCTCAATGTTTTGAGTTTTTTCCCCTCTTCCTCTCTCCATATGTTACGCAAAAAGAACACAAAAATACGTCCCTGTCCCACAAGCAACGGAGTCCGGCAGCCACTCTCACACTCAAAGCTCCGGGACAAGCAGAGGCCCCGGACTCGCCCGGAGAGCCCCACACGGCCGAGGTCCGGCAGCACCGAGAACGCCATTTAAACTTGGATCTGGATTTCTATTACCCCCAGGTTTTGCCCATGGCTCCAGTCTTCCCCAGTCTGAGCCTGATCTGGATCTGGGCACAAGGACAAGAAAGAAAAAAAACTTCATAGCTTTCCCCACGACCCGCTTCCATCTCATCTCCCGTCATTTCCATTACCCCCGTTTTACTTGATCTTGCAGCTTTCGTGACAGCCACCGTTTCCCTTTGTTGCACTGCACGGCACAGCCAGTCAATTTTACACCAACCAGCCAACCCCTAGGGGAAATGGTATCCATTGCATTACCTATTGTTTCTCCCGTACGGAACCGTAGCGAGTTGCGTGCTTGCCCTGTGGCCCCGAGAGCCGTCCCCAAGCTTTTTTGCTTTTACTTTGCCGCCGTCTCGTGGCCTCTTTGGTTAGCAAATCTTCCCTGTATTTTTACTGCACCCCGCATCCGGTGCTTGGAGGCGGACGCTGTAAACGCGTCACAAGGTGGGCAGAAAAACATAGATCGAACTTCATTTTAGGGGGTGTGGCTAGGGCTGTCTGTTGGACCTGGCTGGCTGAGTGAGGCGCGCTCCCCTGACGACGATATTGTTTTGACCACGATGTTCGAAGCTGAGTGTTTCCTGGCTTCTATTTCCAGAATCTCAGCCTGGCGGTTGAGTGTTGTCACGCCCACATTCCGCGTGACCTTTAAGCTTTCAATTGCTATTTCATTGGTCAATTGTGCTGTCAGTTGCTTGTCCCTGTGCTTTGTTGTGGCTTGTAATAGAACGGTACGTAGTTTACATACCCTGAGGTCTCAAAATCTGGGGAAGGTCAAGAAAAGGATCTTGGATCAAGAGCTTGGCTGGATTATCGGATCATGCCTTTACCAGGTTGAGATACAGTATGGTCTGAAAGTTGAGCTATTGGCTTACAACACCCAGGTCCCGTATCATCTCATCCTGGTTACCTTCTCGTAATGATGAATACTCGAATCTCTGACGTGCTGTTCCACCATCGAAACCGTTATCTCATCATCTCTAACGAGGGCCTTTGTCTCCATTCTGGACAATACGGTGCACTCCCAATGCCCCGTCCATGAATATCACGCCTCCACCATGAACCGCTTGTTGATGACGGTTACGGGACGTCACGAAGTTGTGTCCTTCGCTACGAATGCATCTCGAATATGTCTCCACCCAGCTGCCCTTTCAAGGCACCGTATGAGCGTTACGCTGGATGTGTGAATATGTAGAACCGTACCGTAGTGTTACCCACCTATTTTTCTCGAGCTTCCATTTGGCTTGGGCTTGTCGTAGAAGTTTCTATTTTTGTTCTTGCTACTGGTACCTGAGTTCATCACATCATCGACTGAATGGAAGCCGTCTTTTCCGGTCCTTTTTTCAGAGAGATTACTCTGTATGCTCCTCGTGTTCATGATCACCTGCATATTCTTTCAAATTTCGGCAATAAAAAGTTCTTTTGAGCCAGATGATGAATTGCATAGAAAGTCAAATACGCACCTTTGTCATAATACGCTGGCACATGGTTGGTTTGCTTGAGTGACGGACCAATCAGCTCAACTCTCGACTAGCCAAACCTGGGGACAAACTGGCAAGCTTCGGCATAATATCAAAGAGGAATATCACAATGTCAGTTCTGTTTCCTCATTGAGGACACTTGCTTGTCTACAAAAGACATCAATTATCACTTCGTTCGGCGGTACGTATTCTGCAAGTACCTACGATACCTTGCTGGTGTCTGGCTGGCCATTTTTAAGGTGCCACCAAGTGGAATGTTGGGGAAGAGTTTTCCTCGACGACGGCAGCTAGTGGCTGAGCGAGGGGCCCCCAGAACGCCTAGACACTGAGATTCCCTGAGGTGTCACAGGTGGTGAGCAATCAACTCCACCATCGAGGCCATGCGCTGCCCTGTTTGTGGGTATTGTTCTATCCATACCCGGCAGAACGTGCTGCCGGCCCCCGGAGATCCTCAGGTACCGTCCTCGTACCTTACTCTACTTGAGCCGCTTGCAGTGCCCGCTATCTGATCGGCTAACGACGCTATAACCAGATGGATTCGACCCAATGGGACCCATGCTTCTTTGGTGCACCGTCCGGGGATCAGGGTCGCCCGTGCATGATCACGATAGCTTCATTGACCCTTTCTTTGACGAGTGACGGCTCGCCATGGAGATTGGAGCCCATACCTGGCGTCTTGCGGTGAGGGGGAAATAGTTAGCTTAGACGAACCGGAGCTCCAAATCACTACCCGGAGGACGCAGTCACAAAGAACGGAGCACTCTAACCAACAAATAGGGCCGGGGAGCTTTCCCTGACGGTGTTGACGAATGCTTTTTGTGGTACCTTGCCAATAGCTATGGTAAGGAGCTGTCACCGTATCCCAGCATCATATCACATCCATTCTTTCTGCTCTTCAAATTCGCATCGCGGGGCAGCCCCTCCTAACAGGTACACGCAAACCAACGGCACAGACACGTGTTGATTGCAAATGTGACCTTGTGCATTTTTTTTACTCAAGGTTTATGACGAGTCTTTACGGACATATTCAAAGCTGGACAGAATTGTCAGAAATTAGTTGCTCATCAAGTCCTGCTGTGTGTGGTTGAGTTAGGTATTGTAGCCAAGTACATGGTGTAAATAAAGGCCAGTTTAGGTTGTCTCTTACACGCCGTCAACACCTCCCGTCAAGTTCCCCAGACAGGGTCCCGATTACTTACCCAAATGGCTCACCTTGACACCGTGCCGGCGGCCCAAGCGTCTCCTAAAAGATACCTTACCTCGTCCATTCTATATCAGGTTGTGCGTGCCATTGCTACCATGTTGCTTCTTCTATTGCGAGTCCAGAAAGAACTGTCCCTGAGCTTCTGAAGCTAAGCGAATGTCTGAGTAGAGATTGCCCAATCGGTGGTTTCGTCCCCTGTCTATCCACTCCTCTACAAAGTATCACGGCCTCGACAAGTCTTGTCTACAAGCTACACAACCAACATCACACGGCATTCTTTGGTATCGTAGACGAGATTTCCTATGGATCACGAGGTTCGTGCCTGTATAACTATTCTCCCATTCAATGCTTCGTAATCTAAAACCCTTGTGCGAATTGCATCGGATATGTTTACCGCTCATCACGGCAATTAGGTCTATATTTGTCGAATGTATATACGTAATCTTCTTACATCTCGATACAGTGAAACGGGCTGAAAGGTCACGATGCCAGATGTTTAATTGCCAATGGCTTCTCGTCAAATATTGACGAGCTCCATTAAAGGTCATGTGTTGTACCCCTTGGAGCAGGGGAATGAACAAATTACGTACTAGTCTCGTTGCTTACAGGATACCAAAACCAACGTCTCAAAGCGATCTAGAAGCTAGGTCAAACTTGAACACTCCAACAACTCAACAAGACAGATTCCAAACATCCACTCCCGACTTTTCCGGTCGTCCCTCTTCCTTCCTGTGTCTCACAATACGTCCGTGACTCTCTTTCTTGCGTTTTCTGCTTTTCCTAATTACAATACTTTTATCTACGAACTGTAACAAGGACGAGGAACAACAAGTATAGACACAAGGTCCATACCTACCAGGTAAAAGTCAGGCGCTGCGTATAGCCTTCTAGCCAAAGCTACGTTCAGTCCTGAAGAAACCGTTCGCAAGGTCCTCCTGGTTTCTTTCCGAGACTCTTCTGACATGAACAAACACATCGGTTCATGATAATGCTGGTTCTGCAAATCATAGCCGCGAAGTCGCAGGTATATGGTTGATCAGCTTTACATATTACGTACCAACTTGTATCTCTTGGACATGTCATCTTTTGTGAGAAGGTAAGGTAACAGGAACTTCTCGAGTTGTCTCTCTACTAGACAACGTGGTATTGCTTGCACACCTTCTATGCCAGGCACAGGCTGGTTCCCTCAGAGACTGGCATATTCTTGCCGGGTTCAGTGAGCATTACCATATGGCCCTGCGGTGCATATTAAGTCAGCATGTATGTGTCGCGGTCCTTTTGAATGATCCAAATGCCAACTTTACATATATGAATCTTGACCAACAAGATACATTACATGGTGGCAGGCTCACACGACTTCGGCAGAATATTGCCGAAGTCATAGTGGACAACATGGAATTCCTGAGTGTGACATTTATACTGCCAATGTCGTCATGAGCATTCAATGGTTGAAATAGGTTGCGGCAGGATCATTACTGTGATCGAGACGATGGGTGGCGACGAGTAAGCCAAGACTAGGGTTATTCGAGCACGATGAGGGGGCAAATGGCCGCCCACCACTCGATTTCCAGCATTCTGTTCTGAAGCGCGCCTCTACTGTAGAATGGACGTGACATGATGGGATACCGAGAATGAGACTAATACTCCTTATTGTCTCAGAGCTCTACTGCATAACGCTCACAATATGTCCCTGACCACGGCCTAGTATTTGTTCAAGAAAATGTCATGAGGATGAATTTATCCAATGGCTCTGCATGAGAAATGATGATAACAGTTCCATTTCGCATTCTCAAAGCTCCTCCTGTACTTTGCAGTAAGAGGCTCGATGATGGTTGTCTATGGAGGGTGCACGTGACGATAGTTGCTGGTGAACTCATCGGCTAAACCAGGGTGGTGTAAGTGGAGCACCCAAGCAACTTCCAAAGAAAAATTACTCCCATGACATCGTGACGCCCAACGTCAACGCCAACTCATCAACCAGTCACCGAGAGAACATATTTTCTTATCGGGCGGAGATTTGTCAACATCGCTTATCTCACCAGATTCTTCCAGCAATCACGATATATTCACAAGCCTTGTGATTTGGGCTGCGACTATTCGGCAATTCCTTCTCCACCAAAAGCTCTTCAACAGCTCTTAATACCTTCACAATCGACTACTCGATACACAACACTTTCAGCTATCCAAGATGGTTACTCTTACCGAGGTTGAGGACGAGCACTTCCAGCACCCTCAGGCTGGTCCCGATATTGAGGAGGACGATGACGACTACTCCGATACTGGTAATTAACAACCCCGCGCCTTTAATCGCGATATTGTCCATGCTAACAACGCCCGTAGACTCCGAGATTTCCAACGAGTCCGACTACGATCCTTCAGAAGAGACTCTTGCTGAGCGACTATACGCACTGCGCGACATCGTCCCCCCAACTACTCGCTCATGGATCTCCGGCAAGGCCAACACCATCGGTAACGCTGCCTGGAGCGTTCTCTCTTTCAGTGGCAAGGGCGCTTGGGTGCTCACCACCTCTGCCCTGTTCTTTGGTGTTCCCTTCGCTTTGTCTTTCGCCGAGGATCAGCAGCTCACTGCTATGGAGCAAGAGTACAACATGCGACAAAGCGGCAGTGAACTTTTGACCGCTGGCTCCGAACAGAGCACCGCTGACCAAGTTGGCGCCGCCCTCGATGGCAAGCCTGCCCAACCTTCTCTGTAAACAAATAAGTTGGAGTCACGCAATCAAAAAACCTTGACCTTACGTTTCTGGGTATGAGGATATCTTAGACAGTGCCTTTTGTTGCCAGGCGCAGTCATTATTGGGCCGGAAAATACGGCTTCCCATGTGTACAATAATTGTTTACGGCGTATATGGCCGATGAAGACCTATGATGGATGCAACTGGGTTTGACCGGGAGGAACGAGAAGCGCAACGCATCCACGGCGCATGGTTACTGGTGTAAAGTATAAGATGGGGTTGGTAATGGCTGCGATCTCATCTCCAGGAAAGGTGGTTTCACATGTATTTCGTCACATTAGAGCTGTATCATTGATGACTTATGTGTGAGCTTTATATAAACCACAGCTTGTTCTGCCTTCGTATTGTGCATTGCTTGAGACAATAACGATGAATGGGAAAGTCACGGAATGTGATGAAATTGAAAAGAAGCTTCTAGTCATAGCAGCTCGTTCGACCAAGTGTATTGCTCTTAATGTTTTCGATGATTGTGATGATGTAGGATCTCCATCAAGTTCAGGGTAGGTATTCTGGCTGACACTAACTTTCATGGTAAGGGATAGATGAGTATCAATTCTCTCAGTTACACCCTGACAGACTAACTAGAGACTCTACATATTCCCAGCTAACGCTGAATAAGTAGCTGTCACGCAAAACGAACAAAGCCAACCATGGACTTTGTTGGACTGCCAAAGATAGAGGTTGTTTAAACCCCACGTTCCATGTTTTTGGCACTGACGATATGCAAGCTTCACGCCCATTTGACTGGGAGCATCTCACGCCGTGCTCTCCATGAGGTATGGCTACGTAAAAAGGAGACAAGTAACACCGACCTAGAAGATCCTCTGATCGTCATGCCTGAAGGGAAACATGATTACAACCTGCAAACGTTAGTCTTGCCTCTATCGATTGGCAGTCACAGGATTAGACACAAGCTGACTTCACTTCACAGCTTCTTCCCGCTTTTCAGCAGTTACATATATAACCTTATCACGGATGAGGAATCTGTTCGAGATACTACCAAATGTGTATTGACAGACTTTCTCAATGATGGCGTCTGCTATCTCGAGCTTCGAACAACACCACGCGCCACGCCTCAACTCTCAGCAGAGCAGTACATCTCAATCCTTCTTGACACAATCTCGTCATTTGAGTCCCAGAACCCTCAGCTACACACTCGTTTGATCCTCGCTGTCGATCGGCGACACACCCCTGAGCAGGCTGCTTTCACCCTTGAGCTTGCTCTGACATACCGTGAGCAGGGAGTCGTTGGCTTGGATCTCTGCGGTGATCCAACAGCGAGGCCAGCAGGCGAGATAAGTGTCTTCACTCCTGTGTTCTTAGAGGCAAGAAAGAAGGGCTTAGGGATTACGGTTCACTTTGCTGAAGCTGAGGCGAGTGGGTCGAAGGAGGAGTTGAGTACGCTGCTCTCTTGGGAACCGGGCAGGCTGGGACATGTGATTTGGGAGGATGAAGAGACCAAGAAGGAGATCACAAAGAGAGCGTTGTGTCTCGAGTTATGCCTGAGCTGCAATGTCAGAGCCGGGATGGTGTTGGGCGGCTTCGAAGGCCACCACTTTGGGCACTGGAGAGGTGTCAACGGCCCTAAGATCTCACTCAGCGTAAGTTACTGAACTTGTGTTCATGAAAGGGAGAAACATAAAGATTGACAATGATCATAGACTGATGATGTGGGCGTGTTCGGAAGCCCCTTGTCTAACGAATATAGACTCGTCGCGGAACATTTTGGCCTTGATCGTCAGGCTATATGTGAGCTTGCGCGACAACCTATTGATGGCATATTTGGAGGCGAACGGGAGAAAGAAAGGCTGAGAAATATAATGTGGACACAGTGAGCTTGACAGCTGCTATCGCTATTGCACAGAGGTGTTATGCTGTAGTGCCCGAAGCTTGCATATTATCATGGCCATAGAGTGTCAGAAGACTTTGAGACCCTTCCAACTGAGAGAGAAAATAAAAGTAGTCGCATAGCCTGCTATGTTTATCTTAAAATTTGTCCACAGTTATCCAAGTTTATCCTCAACTTGTTTAAGAATTTTCATCACTTTGGACTGAGTTATTGTGACATCGCTAGAAGGCCAATGGATGCGGTATGAATATCGACGTCATCATTTAGGCATAAGCTATTAGAAAAGTGTCTACTCTAGTGAAGTTGTGTTTACTAGCAAGGCGTATTGCATCGCCCACGAACAGCTATCGAGCGGTTGAAGCATCAATAGTTAATTCATACTGCTGTGACTCGCTAACAAGGTATGAGGAGAGAAGTTGATATCAAAGCCAAATCAGGAGCATCTCGTGTTCTTCCATCGCATTACATATGGAAACGACCCTGCCCATAAACGCCGTACTTTTTTGGTTGTCGTCTCAATCTGAAACGTTAACGTTAACCCCATCGGTAAACATCCAAGTCGTGTTCGTCCAAGTTTCCGTAGCTTCATCATCAATGCATGCCAACTGGCGGAGTCTCAAGGTCAACACCTTCGACCCTGGCGCGCTCACCATCGCTCTGGCGGATGAGGTTGAGGAAATAACGAGAGGCGCGCTCACTCTCGCCCTTGACCTTGATAGTCTCCTCTCGCTTTGCGCTCAAGTCCTTGAGGCTTTGGTCAAGGCCGACCCGAAGGTTGTCAGCGGGAATGCGGAGGACCTTGCGAACGGAAGAGGAGATACGAGAGGAGTTGGAGTGAACATAATCCAACTCAGCAAGCTGAGTCGAGATCTTTGTAGCAAGGCGAGGAGGCAGAGAGTTGGGAATCTGCTGCAGAACATAGGCGGAGGCAGCAACAGCTATTAACAATTAGTGACTTGGCATTCTTGAAAGTTACATGGTTCACTTACCAGCCACGAGAATGCCAGGAATGATGAGCTGGCGTAGGTTCTCGTTGCTCAAGATGCGAGTTGCTGTGATAGCCTGATCCATCCACGTGTTCATACCAATCATCCGGGGTACAACGGCGCCGGCAACTGTAAGGGCCATACCAGTGCCAGCAAACTTTTCCTGTCGCTGTAACAAGGTAGTCCAGTCGACAAAGTCGATCAGTTCTGTGGGAATATCGACCTGGCGAGCAAGAGCATCTCGCTTGCGTCGGAACATAACATCAGGTCGGAATTGGAGGTTCTGGAACTCATCACCAACGTGCAGGATACCCAGTTGCTTGATAGCATTGACGCCATACACGGTTTTTCTACGAGCATACTCTTCGCAGTTCGAAACAGAATCTGCAATGCGAGACAGCATAGCTTCCTTGAGATCCTCTGCATATTGGAAAGCATTCCAGATACCGGGGTAGGGTACATCGTAGTGGCTGCTTCCAGAGCGGAGAATGGCCGAGTTAAGAGTGTTTCGAGTGTAGTCGTAGACGTCCTTGCATGTTTCCTCAACGTTGGCATCAACCGACTCGCTTACTTCGGTCTTTGCCCTTCGACTGGATTCCAACTGAGGTTCAAGCTCTTTCAACTCCTGGGTCACTCGCTCCAGTTCCGATTGAGCAACTTCCTGGTTGACATTTGCAAGAGTGTTGACATCATTCAAGATGTTGAGCAGATATGTCCGAGCAGGTGCAAGCTTCGATCGTGCACGCTTCTCAAGCACGAATCTTCGCAGCGATTGCTCCAGAGCCTCGAAGTCTCGCACCTTGTCAAGATCCTTACCCTTACCCTTGTCATCACCATCACCAGGATCACCACTGCCTCCACTTGAACTACCGCTGCCACCAGGGCCGCCAGGAGGCGAGGGGCCGACAGGGATGGCGTTGCTGGACACGAAATGCACAAGCTCGGAGGACTCCTTGTGGGTTCGGGGACTGAGACCGGCAACCTGGTCAAGAACCATCTTCTCACATCGCTTTTTGTCTCGGATAACATCGAATCCGTTAACAACAATAAAAATATATGCCTTCTCAGCAGCAGCAGCCCAAATAAACTCCTTGGCAGACTGTGTAAAGTGATTGGCAGCGGAAACCACGAACACAACCACATCGATCTCCTCCTGCCGGGCAAAGATGGCAGTCGTTTTGGTTGTATCGGAGTTAAGGCCAGGAGCGTCGATCAAGGCAATATCCACCACGCCATTGTTCAAGAGAGATTCGTCAATGCTTCGGCTATCCTTGACGTAGATCTTGCACTGAGTGTAAGTCTCGTTGTCGATGACGATGTTCTCGAGTTCCTTTAGTGAGAAAACATCGTAGGTCGACTCATCGTTTCGGTCGTAGGGCACGTTTTTATGCACTGCATGTACCTCTTCCACACCAGAGTTCTCCCTAGCATCAAGCACCTCACAAAAGATAGCAGTGCAAGGCTGCTGATCCTCAGGAAGAACCTTTCGACGGAGTAAAGCATTGCAGAAAGTTGACTTGCCAGCATTGAGATCGCCTGTGATGAGAACCTTGCTTGCAGTATCCTCGATTCGTTCACGGAGAGCTAGTAGATGTTTGATGCTGGAACTGATTTTGCCGTCGAGGAGCGATGCAATGGAGCTCTTTTCCAATGAATGCACAAGCTCGGTCTGGTGGAGAGCACCGAGCTTGAGATCTAGCTTCAAAATAGAGAACTCTTGAGCAATTTGTGGTGAAACAAGTCGGGGCTCGGGTGTGGATCGATTCTCAGCGGCTCGACTCGATTCGGCGGAACCGTCTTCGACTGTCGTCATGGCACGTCTTAAACCAGGGTTTCGGAAGGAGGATGAGCCTTTGCCTTCCATACCCGTGTGGGCATGGGCAAAGGCGGGCCGTGAGGAGTGTTCGGAGGAGTCGCGGCGAGCTCGTTGAACGGAAGGATAATGTGCGGGCCAGGAAGCATTCATTTCTTGTAAATTTTGAAGCAGTTCGAGCACCTTGTTGATGGAACGACCGAGGGTAGCACGGTGAGCATTATACCACATCTGGTGCACAGCACCCGACGCAGGCCGGTCGTGATGCATTGCCATATCCCATGCTGCGGCGGAACTCATGGAACGCTCATCGCCAGCTATACTTCCACCGTAGCCTGAGTCGACGTCAAGCATGCTCTGGAGACGGGCAGCATGTTCAGATGTCATACCATTTCCGACAGTCATATATTGGACCCGAGAAGAGGACGAGTTTGTGGGTGGCGGAGAAGAGTGGTTGCTGGTGGGCGCGTCGGAATGGCCATGATCGTTGTCACCGTCAGAATCGGGTTCCTGGTGCAGTCGGGCCTTGCCCTTTCCGTTACCGCTGAAATAATCTTGGCTCATGTTGAATCGGTCCTTAGCAGTTCGAGCGGCATATTTTGGATGAGAAGCGAGGGGAAGAAAATATCCTTGGAACCGTGATGCCGATGTAATTATGGCGGTCGGTTGGAGAGGCGAATAAGAATCATTGACAAGTCAGTCGAACGACCCATTTCTGCATGATTTTTGCTACGTACCGATTCCCGATTTGATTGGCGAAATCTGGAGACTTTTGGCGCTTGGACCAAGCGGGCTCTTATCGTGCCGTATCGTGCAAGCAAAGCGGTCTTTCAAGGTTGGCCCAGTCCGATTACGTAGTGTCGGGACATCCGTAGCGCGACCAGGCCATCGACTCTTACCACGCATCTGGATCAAGGCTTGATCTCTTCTCGCTGCCTTGCGCATTTCTGCCTCCTACTTATTTACTATTCGCAAGGACTCTTCCCCTATACCGACTCTTCGACCTCTCTTTACTAAGACCTACCCTCTTTCATCCGTCAACCACCACTACCCCCGCACATCATGAATGTAAGAACAGCGGTGTCGTGCGACAATGCGGCGCGCCCATGATGGCTAATTCGCTCACGATATAGATCCTCGAATGGGCATTCGGAAAGCGCATGACGCCCGCGGAGCGTCTACGCAAGAACCAGCGCATGCTAGATAAGGCCATCCGTGAACTTGATCAGATGCGCGTCAAGCTGGAGAAGCAAGAGAAGACCCTTATTCAACAAATCAAAACGAGCGCCAAGAATGGACAGATGGGAGCTTGCAAGATTCAGGCCAAGGATTTGGTCCGCACGAGACGATACGTCGAAAAGTTTTACAGCATGCGCAGTCAATTACAAAAGATTTCGCTTCGCCTTCAGGTAATTGCATACATTGGATATGAGCGTAGACCAGAGGCTGACCGAATTCGACACAGACATACAGAACGAACGAACAAATGATGCAGGCTATGAAGGGCGCTACCATGGCATTGGGAAGCATGAATAAATCGATGAATCTTCCCCAGCTTCAACGAATCGCCATGGAGTTTGAACGCGAAAACGATATCATGGACCAACGACAAGAGATGATGGACGATGCCATTGATGATGCTATGGATGTGGGAATCGAAGAAGAAGGCGATGAGGTGGTAGAGCAAGTCTTGGAAGAGATTGGTGTGGACTTTAACCAGGCAGTAAGTCATAAAAGTGATGCTACGCAAGCCTTGTCGCTAATACAGTCACAGCTCGGTGAAACACCTACCGCTCTGGGAACTGCGGCGGTACCTGAGGGTAAGATCGCTCAGGCGGTTGGTGGCGGAGGCGGCGGCGGCGGCGGTGGTGACCCTGTTGACGACGACCTGCAAGCAAGACTGGATAGTCTGCGAAAATAGACGAACTGACAGGGCTTCCTTGAAGCCTCAGGAGTTTTGTTTCAGTGATAACCGCCATATCAGTTTAAATGAGGGTACGCTACCATTATTCGGACCCTTCAGCCCACAGAAGATGGCCATATGTCCGATGTCATGATCGATCTTTGGCCATAGGAAGAAGGAAGGGAGCTTCATGGTACTATGTTTGTTCCGGTGCATTGGTGTCTGGAGAATTGTCTTACAAATCATCAGCTTTGCAGTTTTTCTGTGCTTTATAGAAAACAATACTCGCTGCTTGTCAGGCCTGTTGAAAACGTGGGCAACGCTTGACCAACTTGTCAGTCGATTTGCGTCTACTTCAGTTTGTGTTGATATACTCGCACTATTATAAATATCCTCAATTTGGATGATGGGTAAAGTAGAATCTATTGGATCACACAAAACGGTATCATTTGCAATAAACAGGCAACCTATCTGAGTATGGCTTTGACGGCAGTCCCAGACCTCCACGTGTACAGCCGGCAACGGCTTTGGGGAAAAGAAGCTGGCCGTATGAGAACGGATTTGATCTTAGGAAAAATTAACCCCGAGCCTGTTAGCTTCATCTGACTGACGGCAGAGCGATTGTGGGATTATTTAGATGCTAGTTTCGGATGTCTCGGGGCGAGGATGGCTTCCCTCGCACCGACTTATTGTTGGAAACACATATCAAACGTGTCAATAACTAACACGCAAAATCAGGGTCCAGTTAATATGCGTTTCCTAGAGCTGATTCATTGCTAAGATCGACACATCCATTTCTATTGAAACCCAAAGCCGAGAATCGCAAATTTGCCCAAGATCCATTTGCCTGCACAGCGCTAAACAGCGCGGTCGTGAGCCAGTAAACGTCACTCGCCCGTGGATACGTCAGTGGCCAACAGCCAGACACAGCGCACAATCAGATCTTGAGGCACGTCCAGCTTAAGCGCAGCCCCCCGCCCCCACTGACGCTCACCAATCCCCAGCTGCAGTGCGTCAGGTAGCTCCGCCCTCCACTCCATCCATTCACCTCTGGTTCCAGTACTTTATTAGCCCAGCTAATTCATCCAACGAAACGTCCTAAAGCAACCTTGCCAACTCTTCATCAACTACGACACGACTTTCTGTAGACTCACTGGCTTGTATTAAGCCTTAACTTGATCCGCTTAACTTGCAGGACGTCCCTCTCTGTCCTCTGAATACTTTCCAGTTCAACTCTCCAGTGTTGAAATAGTCTTTCCACACTCAGCGCCAGGTACGTTCGTTTGCTGCTCACTTCAACTTATTGCACTGCTTTATTGGAAGAACTATTAAGTTACTTCGACACATGTGTTCCCTCTGTTCTTAGCTCCAGCCGCAATATGATCCTGTTTATTGGACTCGTGGATTATCAGATCTATATGATTACCTATTCCCCGCCAGCGCAGCCGCTTCCCTTGTGGCGTCTACGTCACGTTTCTTGAATTACGATGCGCTCAGCATCATGCCTCGACCTCACAGCCAACGGTTGGCACGGTTCATTGGTGCTGCATCGAGTTTAAGTACGGCCCTGTCCCCGCCGTCCGATAGTCCCAATGGTGTGAACTGTGGTCATCTCCAACAACTATCACTGGGGTGACGACAGAAGTCAAACTTATCAGTCCGCGCGCTTAGCTACATCATCAACGTTTTCCTTACGACCTGCACGCACTCATTGCTCTATTCCTATTCTCGTTTATTTATCATCCTTGGCGACATAGAATGATGCTCTCGGTTCATCCTCTCTAACTCTTACAGGTCCGCCTTGCGCTGACGAATTAAACACGCCAAGCTGGTCTCGACCAGCACCCCGCCCCCTACCCTTACCACGACGGTATACTTCCACAGCTACCGCAACGTTCGCGTGTAGCGATTCTACAAAGCCCTACTCCGACGACGATAGAACCGATACCGAGCTTCAGCCTTCCACAGCATCAACAGTGCTGACGTTCCCTCTCTGCGCAACACCACCTAGTATTCTCTTGTCCCTAACACAAGCTGGCGAGCAACAAGCGTCGCAGTCTCTCCTCGACTGGAGGAAGTCTGCTGAATAGAATGTTTGGCGGCAGTTCCAACAACTCAGCGGGCAACAAATCCGAGAGCGATTCAAAATCCGATAAATCCCCTTCTCCCGAACCTGGCCCAGGCCCCAGCGCTCCGGCTCCAATTAAGACAACTGATCAGGCTGCAAGCGGTGAAAAGCGCAGTGGAAATGGCAGCCCTCCCACTCGACAGGATACCGGTGGATCGACCGACAAGAAACGCAGAAGTAGCAGCGTCAGTAGTCGGGCTAGCAGTCTTCTTGCGTCCGCCAAAAACTCGCTCAACTTCTCCCAGAGCAGTCGCAGTGGGGGCTCTGAAGTGAGCTCCCAGACACCTCTCCAGAAGCTTGGCAAACAGGATCCCGCTCTTGCAGTCCCCCAGGGTCAACATAATAACTCTGCTGGAGAATCCATGCCGGGTCCCAAGTCTACGTTTCGCGTTGGTGTTTGGGAAGATAGGAACAAGAAATGCCGTCGCACTATGGAAGACACTCATGCCTTTCTCTATAATTTTGTGCAGACCCCAGCCTTAAACGACGTGTCTTTAAAGGATAAGCCTGAAGGTGAGGATCGGGAATCAGTTTCCTCCGACATGGTTGAGTCAGACAATGGTTATTTTGCTATCTTCGACGGACATGCTGGTACATTTGCAGCCGACTGGTGTGGCAAAAAGCTGCACCTCATTCTTGAGGACATCATACGCAAGAACCCCAACGCTCTGATTCCTGAAGTCTTAGACCAGGCCTTCACGGCCGCTGATGCACAGTTGGAAAAGCTGCCCCTAAAGAACAGTGGTTGCACTGCAGCTGTTGCAGTCTTACGCTGGGAGGATCGAGCGTCGAATGATCGATCAGCCATTAAGTCCGCTAGGCCGGAAGAGCCTGTTGAAATGGATAAAGCAAAAGATGGAGCTTCGAATGACGAGGCAACCAAAGCTACAAATTCAAAAGGAAAGGGTAGCGGACGACAGAGGGTACTGTATACCGCAAATGTTGGTGATGCCCGCATCATTCTTTGCCGAGGTGGAAAGGCCCTGAGACTTTCTTACGACCACAAGGGCAGTGACGAAGTCGAGGGTAAAAGAATCGCCGCCGCCGGAGGCCTGATTCTAAATAACCGCGTCAACGGCGTTCTGGCTGTAACCCGGGCTCTTGGTGATGCCTACATGAAGAAGCTTGTCACGGGTCACCCCTATACCACCGAGACGGTCATTCAGGCTGATAGTGACGAGTTCATTATCATTGCTTGCGACGGAGTAAGTTGAGCCTCAAATGCAAGTGCAAACCACGAGATACTAACAACCACAGATTTGGGACGTATGTAGTGACCAGGAAGCGGTTGATCTCGTGCGCAATGTTGAGGATCCCATATCGGCCTCAAAGCAGCTTGTTGACTATGCACTAAACCGCTTCAGCACTGACAACCTGTCCTGCATGGTCGTCCGACTGGACCAGAACAAGGAGGCTGCAGTCGAGGTGGAAGGTGCAGCGTCCCAGGTCAGTGAGGCAGACAAGATTGTCAGCGAGACTAAACAAAAGATTGCAGACGGTAGCACGCCCGCCGTCGGTGTATCAGCGACTAGCAACGCGCCCCAATCCGAACCCCCTATAGCTGTTCAGGAAGGGAATTTTGTGCCAACTTCACTGGATGAAGTGGTTACAGAGGAGCCTCCTCATGTTGCAGATCCAAAATCGGATGAGGTCCCTATATTGAATAAGGCCGCTGTTGAAGAGGCCCGCAAGGATAAGCCAGCCGCAGACAAGCCAGCGGAAGAGAAGCCCGCTGGGCAGGCATAGTTCAAATACACTGGGTAGACATGAGGCACTATGGACACACCCCAGACTACTTATTTGGTCTCAGAGCAAGAGCTTCATCATTCAGTGAGAACGGGATACGGATCTAGCGGGTTGTTCGTCTCTCCACCTGGACCATTCCCCATCTCCTTGGATCAAGGCTTGTAAAGTGCGGTGATATGATGTGCATGCAAGGTGCTGTGATGGGATTCATGTCTTGAGTAGGTTTACACAGAGCTGAAAGGAGCTTGATCAGCCTTGAGTTGTTTCTATAGGTTAGCTGAGGAGCGCCCTCGTACATGCGAAAGGAGGGGTGACACTGCTGATGCAGTACAATGGTGTATTGATAATATCATGATTACGACTTGGAACAAGAGTCGATCTTTCGAGTTCATTCTTTGTATCTGATACTTGTTGCTAGGTTATATATGCATTGCCATCTACTGCCATAAGCCAGCTATGCCTCTCTATATCCGTGTTGTAACGTTGATGTACAATCTTGTCAGGCTTGTACAGCCGAAGCGGCTCGTGTTGAATACTTTGATTAAAGTAGGTATGGATCCCACTATTTGTTCTAGGATGCTTCGACTGAGCTTCCATCCTTCTAGTCAAGGGATAGACTGGTACGGATACTGAATCGCTAGTTTGGCGTCAAGCTCCATTCTATTGACTGCAAGTGATTGGCAATTACAGCGTCACCCGCTATGTTGCAGACAGTCGTAATTGGGACCAACCAAACAATCTCCTGCAGCTCATAATATCGTTCAGCGTAGACGACTCCGTCGCAGAATGTCGCGTGCCAACGGTTGTACTCTGACACTGACGTATGTTGACAAGGCGACGGGTTCTGCTTCCAAACGTTCCGGAGTCGGTAAAACCAACGCCAAAATGTGTTTACCTTGTTAACTTAGATTGGGGGTGGAGAAGCCGGGGCGGGAGAGGAGGTTACTTTGTTGCTGGAGTGGGTGGCTTTGATCTACCAGAATTGGAACTCTGGATCAAACTTAGATTGATTTTGATAGAGGACGAGTATTGAACTCTGCGAGTCATGATGATCTCTTTTCTTGTCTGGCTGGCTGTTTTGCATCATAACTATGTCTTCATACATAAGATACCTATGTTAACATATGTGTACTTCGTACGAGGCGACAAGAGAGATGAGGCTAAATCGTCATCTCGTCTAGTTGTCGTCGTTTCGTTTCATGACACAGCTCTTTTCGTCTATGTACAAGCTACTTTGAGTTGATGTTTACTGTCTCGTCAAAATTTCTTGGTTCTGTCATGCAGCCAACCCTAAGTCGTCGCTCAGCAGCACTGTATCGCCTTGTGTTTTGTAACTTTGTGTGATGGCCTACTAGTTAGTTCTGGATTGGGTTGGTTGTCTTGGTATACCCGATCCCTGACGGGAACCCAAGACGCTATTCATCATTCATTCCAGCGCGAGACTCCCTTTTTGGCTGGCGCGCAATTTGCACTCTAATGGTCAACATTGGAGTAATTGATTGACATTTTATTTATGTCATAATTGGGATGATTTATGAGGCGTTGGCGTGCCAGATTCTTTTCCTTTTTCTTTCTTTTCGAGTGGTGCCATGCTTTTCTTCTTCTTTTGTTTGAGTATATGTCTCGGCCCATG